TAAACCTTTATTTTTACAGGTTTTGACCAATGGTGAACCAACCAGAAGAGGTCAATATAGGCAATATTTGTCTGCAGCCCTAGACAAGGCATATAATGCTGTTTTAGATGGAATGGCAATTAGGAAAGCTGCCACTACCTTTGCTGTTCCATTTGCTACACTGCATGACAGGATGAGTGGGAAGGTTTCTATTGAATGTAGTACCACTGGTAGAGAACCACTATTGTCCATGGAAGAAGAACAGGGACTTGTTTCACATATTGAAGCCATGGCAAATTTTGGGTATGGCTATACAAGGGCTGAAGTTACTACTATTGCCACAGACCTAGCAATATATGTTGGAAAGAAGTCAAAGGATGAACAACCCCTATCACTTCAGTGGTTCTATGGGTTTATGAAGCGATGGCCTGATCTGTCAGTGAAGAAGCCACGATCCCTTGAGATACAGAGAGCAAAAGCTACCTCGGAGGAGACGATCACTCATTATTTTAATGAGCTTGGGCACATCATGGATAAGTACAACCTGAAGACATGCCCTCATCGCATTTATAATGTTGACGAAAAGGGACTTATGGAGCATCATACCCCACCATCAGTTGTTACATCGAGTCAGAGTACTCCAGCTGCAGTCACAACATCAAGATCAAGTACTACAACGGTTATAGGTTGCGGCAATGCGTCTGGTAGTTCTATACCACCGTATTTTGTTTTCAAGGGCAAGAGGATGCGGGAAGAACTCCTTTCAGGAAGTACCCCTGGAGCAGCAGGCACTGTAAGCGACTCTGGCTGGTCAAATACGGAGATTTTTCAGCACTATCTGACAGAGCATTTCCTGAAGCATGCTGTCGCCGCGTCTGCAGATAGTCCACTTCTTATTGTGTATGATGGTCATAGATCCCACGTATCTATTCCACTCATCGAATGGGCACGTCAACATCACATTATTTTGTTTGTACTGCCTGCACACACGTCCCATGTTTTACAGCCAATGGATGTTGGTTGCTTTGGACCTTTTGCTAAAATTTACAACAACCTCCGTCATACGTATATGCGGGAAAATGCCACAAGTTCAGTTGATAAACATTCTGTTTGTGAACTTGGCTGTAGAGCTTATAACCTGTCGCTGACACCAACAAATCTGCAATCCTCTTTCAGGAAATGTGGAGTCTATCCATTTGACAAGTCTTCCACCGCCAATATCAACTTTGCGCCATCAACAGTTTTTAAGTCGACTGAACCTTTGCTGCATCCTGATACTGGTTTTATTGATTCATGTGTGCCAGTTGGAGACAAGGTTGTCACTTCACCTACTGAGGGCAATGATGTAGCAGGATTCTTTAAAGACAAGACGACTGTACTTTTCAAGAAAGCTGTGCCTACTAAAAAGAGAAACGTTCTGAGCGCTGTTGTCGGGGGCAAGGCCATCACCGAAGACGTCATTCTGAATAAAATTATTTCCCACCAGACTGTGAAATCGGCACCCAAAAAAAGAAAGCAAGCACCTAAACCAAGTAAATCTTTAAAAAAAAAAAATACTGTCACTGCAACGAATGCAAGTACTGGAACTTCACGGTCCAACGCGCATCAGGACGATAGTTTTGATAGTGATGTGACAAGTGATGACGAACAGTGCTGCAAATGTAGCAAATTTGTACCTGATGAGGTTCGAGCTAATGTCTCCCTGATCATAACAACCTGGGCACAATGTACCCACCCTACATGTCAGCACTGGACACATTTACGTTTCTGCACGCCAGTTCGTGTTGTGCGTCGACATTCTGAGTTTTGGTGCCCCTGTCACGATGAGCCTGAAGAATAACTCCCTGCATCAACCTTGTAAATAATCTGGATATTTGTGACTTTTCATCGTTTTTTTTTCAATATTAAAACATAAAATGAACGTTTGATGGACAAAGATGTAATAAAACAACTGCGGACTGTTCTAATTCGAATTTTGACACAAGAGATCGTCCATACATGTCATCTCGGTTATGCGACAAGCCAACCAATCAAATGATCGAACTTGTGTGACGTAGCTTTCTGGGTCATTTCTGTTGACAGTGAGAGGGCGGCCATGCCGCGAGTGTAAATTTCAATGGAAATACGTGGATTTGGGAAATGTTTGTCATAAATAAACAAGTTCACAGGTAAGATATTTGAAAAAAAGATTATATGAATGTTACTATGAATATTCAGCGAGTTTTCGTAAGTGATCGAACTTCCATGACACGAGGATACTGAGTCAAATTAAAAACTTCACATTTTTAAAAGTAATCCCATATATGATATACAACGGGCAAATGTATCAGAGAAGGTATTTTTTAATCATTAATGTCCAAAGAAGGATTTTAATTAACGGTGGTAACCATAATTTGTTCCAAGCACCTACGGTATTCGGCAATAACATCAACAGTTTAAATCATAAGTCCCAAGAACGAGAATCTGATGGTACACAAGTTCAGTGGCGTGTATGGCCACAATGTGCGTTGACAACTGCCACACAACGCCTCCGCATGGACATTGTGATGCTTGTGAACACATGATTGGGAAGACGACGCCATTGTTGCTGCAAAATGGTGCCAAGATCTTGTAAATTCTGTGGTTGGTTCTGGAGAGTGCACAGACTTCTGCCAAGAGCATCCCAGACGTGTTCGATGGGATTAAGGTCGGGAGACCTTGACGGCCAGTCCATGACGTTGACTCCTGCATTCTGAAGGAAATTCCTTGTCAAAATTGCTGTGTGGGGGGTCTGGCATTGTCGTGTTGGAAGATCAAACCGGGTCCATGTGCTGCCATAAAAGGCAGAAGTTCTGGTGCCAATACCTGGTCGCGGTAAGCAGCAGCGTTGAGTTTGCCACGGATGACAAGAAGCCTGGAACGTGCATTGCCACAGAAAGCACCCCACACCATGACACTTCCGCCTCGAAATCTGTCAACTTCCTGTACTAAGCACTTGGCGTAACGTTGATGACGGCGCCTCCACACCCTCGCCCCACCATCAGCAAATCGAAGATTAAATCGTGATTCATCACTGAAGACGACTTGATTCCAATTCCTCTGAGTCCATCGTAAGTGTCGCTATGCCCACAATTGACGTTGACGTCTGTGTAATTGAGTCAGAATCGGCCCGCAGTATGGCCGTTGTGCTTGAAGGTGAGCAGTTCTCAGACGGTTTCGAACAGTTTGCGCATTCAGTCTACCCCTAAACAGTTCATTTCTGGTTGATGTAGCCGTCAAAAATCGGTTACGGAGGTGACGCAAGACAATTTGACGATCCTCTGCATGTGACGTCACACGTGGTCGACCTGGCCGAGGGCGATCAGCGGTGGTACCCGTTTGCTGTAGATGCGTCTGTAAATCATATACAGTCCGTCGACTACAACCCATCGTCCTTGCGCCTTCAGCTACGGACGTTCACGTCTGCAACATGCCGATGGCACGTTCACGTTGCACATTTGAAAGGCGTGGCATGACAAATGACCGTAAAGACTTTTGTTTTTCTTTTTTTGTTAATGACTGCTAACAAGTATGACTGAAAACACGTGCGGTATTATGGCCACGTGACCAGTTGCACGTGAAAAACCACTTTTACCACTATAGTGCTGTGCACATGATTTTGATCGATTCACCTGCACAAAAACGGGTGTTATATGAAGACAATACGTGGCCATTACTGTTTAAATACACAATAAGGGCCCACAATGATAACTGGTCAAAATCTTAAAATTTTAGGATTGTGAAGATTTTATTTTGGTTCAGTATATAACCATGAGCAGGTGTCAGTGCTTGGGAGAGATGATTGTTATGGTACGCTTCCTGGTGCATCTGTCCTTGTTGAGGGATAAACATAAGTTGTGGTTGCTGAGGTTGCTGAGCGACCATTTCTGGAGAGTAGACAACGTTGAGTGACTCACGAATAATATTGCTGGTAGCCACACTCGTCGGAGAGTCTTGAGCAGAGGTGTCAAATAAATTCGAGTCAGAGGTAGAGATTACAACTTTTGACCTCTTCTTTCTCTTCTTGCGACGTTTATCTGGGTTAGCGGGTGTGTGTTGATCGGGCATTCTTATGGGTTTTCATTTCTTACGTAGAATACTTCCTGGATGTATTATTTTCGGGGAAATTAATAAATTTCGAAGGAGACGAAACAAGTACGTCTGCACGACGCAGATCACATCAGTCTCAGTAACCATATCATTTTGCTGCTCCCTGTAAACGATTCTGATATTGAGGGTTTCGTGCTGTTCCGAGTAGTTTCCTTATGGACCCCCCTGAAAGGTATGTAGTTTCCCACTGACGAGGACTCAAATATCAAGCAAGCATCATAAACATTACTTGTTTGAGGTTGGTATTATAAGTGATGCATTAAATTATGCCACATATAAGAAATCCCCCAAAGCAATCTCAGCGCTAAGGTGACCGTAACTCCCATACTTTAACATAGACTTACGACAGTCACAGCGCTAAGGTGACCGTAACTCCCATACTTTAACATAGACTTACGACAGTCACAGCGCTAAAGTTACCGTCACTCCCATACTTTAACATAGACTTACGATTGCCACAGCGCTATGGTGACCGTAACTCCCATACTTTAACATAGACTTACGATTGTCACAGCGCTAAGGTGACCGTAACACCCATACTTTAACATACACTTACGACTGTCACAGCGCTAAGGTGACCGTAACCCCCATACTTTAACACAGACTTACGACTGTCGAATCGATACGATCGCTTTGCGGTACGGTGCCCTGTATTTTGACTGTAATAATGTTGAACATGGATGTAGCATCTTCCCGAGGCAAGTGAGTTAACTGACTGTACCACAAAGATCAAAGCAATAAGTCCCAAGCTCTGGGCAGATAGGTTCCCTGGTCACGGTTCATGGCTGGCTGGTGTCGCCTGATGTCAATGGCTTGTTGTAGTTTTCTTAGTGATGAACAAATAGTTTTAGCTTCCTCAGTAAAAGCACATGGAGAGAGAAAGACTTTTTTAGAATATTAGAACTTTATTTATGTTCTTTTTCCATTCCTTATTGTAACTGATCATGAGAATTACTTTAATATCGCTTTGTGCAAGTGGGCCCAGACTATCTATAGGTCGCCTTGACATAGCTGGAATTGCCGACTGTGGCTTAAAACAACTTTCACCAATTTTCTTATTATCCATAACACTTAATAGGATCAGTAGCATCTGTAACTATATCAATGGCAATTAAACACGAACCTCACCATATAGGTATTTTAGGCTGTAATAACCTACGTAGCTGAAATATCAGAACCGATGTAAAACATAACGTGTATCTACTTAATATGTTAAGTAAGGATAAGAATTAATGGAATTTACTTCTTTATTACAATTAAGAGCGACGTTTCGGTGTAGGTTCACTTGCTTGATTACGGCGTTACAACCTACACCGAAACGTCGCTCTTAATTGTAATAAAGAAGTTGTTTATCCATAAATTCTTATCCTTACTTAGTACTCCGACTTCTAAATGCCTAGAAGTTACTTAATATGTTACTGTTCATCAATGTCTTATGGAATGTTGTTAATATTCATTTGAAAATGTTAAAACATGAGTCCCCTCTATGTACATCTTCAATGGCTGACAACGCTGCAGCAGCAGCAGCAGCGTATGAAGATGAGGAGAGGATGCACCTGCCACAGGCTCCGTATTCAATGCTTGCACTCCACACTGCCGACTGAAGCTCTTTGTCCGTACTCAGTCCAGGAACCCTATGAAGGATACGAAAATATGTTTATATAATGTATTAAGATGAAGCTTTAGATAATAGTGAAAAGTGAGCCATGCACTGAATAAATATAAGAAAGAATGGAGGTCATCACGTGAGTGTTTGGGAATGTTAAATATCCTGTATTAGGAATAAACATTGTATTTAGCGAGCCTTAATAACTTCTTTATCATGTCATGTCATTTTTCAATTCTGTGCTTGAAAATCTCTTCTCATCTCTAACAAACATTACCTAAACATTGCAAGTTTTCCCGGAATGTGCGCATTAATATATATATATATATATTACTAATATATTACTATTATATTACTATAAAGCTTGACCTTTGATATTTGTATCTCGGTCTGCATGACCCCAACAGGTATTGTTTTTATCCGTTGGCTTTATCCTGCCGAGAAACCTCCCCGTTACTAGTATATGATAAACTAATTTTTGTATAGTTGACAGTAAAGAGGACTTCCTTTGAAAATCTGAGTTAGTTTAGTGTGATTGCAGCCAAAATACAGGAACTTGGAAATGATGTAACAGAGGTAGTATTCTTAGAATTATAACAATGATAACTATTGTTTTATAACGATGCATGTATGAAGATTTGGCTGTTATGTGACGTGGAACCCTATTTCCTACAGACACTTATAGTCACTTATGTACCCGAAACACCTAAAGGCGTTTGTAAGTTGCATAATATATGTTTATCCAAGAATCAAGAAAACAATAAACAAGATAACGACGTTATTGAAGGCGTAGTGAAGCGTTTCAGTTGCGTTATATAATATTTACATTTTACTCTATGAATTTCCAAGAGAAAACATTTATCAAACGTGAAATGTCATGAATTTCCGAAATTGCCTCTGTCGAGAAATTGCACGAAGCACAACATGGAACGTGAACGTGAACGTTGCCAAGTAACCGATGGCTGAATAAGCCAGCCAGTTAGCTGTAGACGCTCGACTGACGACACTATACGCGGATTAGAATGAATGCGTGGTATGACCTCAAAGGACGTCACTTAGGATTAAAACCCTATCGACCCACTTTGGGTAATTAGGGCGAGTTTTACCACACGTCAGGAACGATTTTAATATTGATACAACAAGCGAAATAAATATCCAGCAGTATGATCTACAAAGTATGTGGTTTACTCACATAGTAGACACTGACGTCATCCTTCCCACAGACACAGGCGGCCAGGGCGAGGATGCAGGCGGTGAAGCCGATGAAACATGTTGACGTCATGGGTTGGTCCAGCTTGACCCCAGCAGACTGAAACACTGGACCACGGCATCATAATATCAGCTGCATGGAATCAAGAGACCGAAATTTAAATGTGGTAGGGTTTCGCGATCTGATTGGTTAAGCACGATGTTAAATGGGTTTTGAAGTTCGGTAACCTTCTGGACTTAGAACACTTTTCTCTCTCTACAGGACCGCCTTCGTGGTCTAGTGGTAGAGCGTCCGCCCTGAGAGCGGAAGGCCCGGGGTTCGATCCCCGGCCGCATCATACCAAAAGACGTTAAAAGATGGTTGTTGTTACCCTGTCTGGCGCTCGGCATTATGGGGCTTAAACAAGGACTGGTCGGCTCGGAATCAGTATACTGTATCTGAGTGGGGTATTCATGTTAAACTGCGGCATGGTATCTCAGTGTGCTAGCACTAAATCGGCATCAATCCGGACTAGTACAAGCAGCCACACACACACACACACACACACACACACATGCACGTCTTGGACGCGAAGTTAAACCCCATTTCACCCACCTCTCTCTACCATCAAGCAAGACCAAGATGATGTTTGTGGTCGCAATGCCCAATAACAATGACATCCACAAATCTGCAAGCACATAATATTAGTTGTAACACTGACGGCAAGTCCTGTTATTCTGGTGGTAATGATTCCGGTCAAATTAAACTACGAGTGTAATGTTCTTGCTATGGTAACTCACTTTGGAGAAGCTCGTCTTTCCCTTTAAAGGTAATTGCGTCGTCCTCGAACAGGGTGGGGTAGGGGATATTGACGGCTCCGGGAATGTGTCCGGTCTGAAACGCCAGGCCATCAGATTTCAGTCCCAGAAAGCCCATACAGTAGGTTTGGACTGTTTCAGAAAAGAGATTTGATGAGTTTCCATGGGCAGAACAGGTCTCGATTATCCCGCCCCTGTCGTAAAACCCAAGTTATGTTTGTTTGTTGTTTAACGCCGCATTCAGCAATATTACAATATTACTTTATGAAGGGTCATGTAAATAATCGAGGCTGCACAAGACAATCGAGCGATCGAACAACGATCCACGACGTCGGGGTACTATGACATGCAATCAACCAAGTAACTGGCCACCCGATCCATGTACTCGCATCTTGCAGTCAGCATATATTGGTCATGATCCGGGTATTGGGGATCGGATGGCTACAATGCTGACATCCTGGCTGGTTGTATGTGGTAGATGTTAATGCTATCAACTCCTGCTCTACCATGAGCAGACTTGAATGTGTGGAAGAGCCATCTTGGTATACAGCTGGAATATTGCTGATTCCTAAACTAACAGCCTCTCACTCCTCAGTATGAATCTGAGGATCCGATGACATCCCTTTACGGGTCACGTCAGAACGACCTTTCATCCGAACAATCATAGCGTCGCTTACCAGATCAGGAACGCGACAATCAGAATGTGTTTTCTATTCATGCAACCGCGACAACGTTAACACTGGATATTCCGAACGACAGTTACCGTAAGCATCATATCTCGCTTAGATGGGATAAGCTTTTGAAAAAAGAGACTTTCAATAGCCCGCGTGAATCGCTGCCAAACAATCTCGGTCATCTATTAGACATTCCAGAATGTTCTTTTGTCCATTTTTCAAATTTTGTTTCGTGTCGACTCCATGTTAGTCATTTCATTGGTCGGTCAAAGTTCGCGATAATTCGTTCTTACGTGACCTGTAATGGGATGTCTTCAGGTCTTTGTTTAGCGGTAGCGAGAACTAAGAACTAATTTGAATGAGATTGCTCACTATTCTTGAAAAAGTCCGTTTGAACATCTGGATAATATTAACGACAACATCTTCAACAAAAATGGTTATACGTTTTATTGTTAACAATGAGGCCCGTGAAGATCCGGGGTAGAATAGGTCTTCACCAACTCATGCTTGCCGTAAAAGGCGACTATGCTTGTCGTAAGAGGCGACTAACGGGATCAGGTGGTCAGGCTCGCTGACTTGGTTGATGCATGTCATCGATCCCAATTGCGTGGATCGATGCTCATGATATCAATCACTGGATTGTCTGGTCCAGACTCGATTATTTACAGACCGCCGTTATATAGCTGGAATATTGCTAAGTGCAGCGCTAAACACAAACCAAACAACAACCTGAACGATCTGTACGTGCCTTCAAGGCTATTTGATTGAGATTTTCAAGATCTCAATCTTCACAAAATGCAGGGAAGTCTTTTCTATTCCGATTCATTGATGGGCATTAGGGTACCTACATTTTGAAGGCTCTTTTTCTTTGCCATTAAAGTTGTCGGGGTGCCGTGTGTCCACGAACTGTCGCCCATCTCCGGGTTTGATGTCATCATAGAGCATCACCAGGCTTTTGTTAACCTTGACCGTCACGTCACCTTTCTGGGGAATATGATAAATATATTCTGAATTCGACAAATATCACTTCTTTCAGATCTCATATCACAATAAACATGTGTGTGTGAGTGAGTGTGTGTGGTATATGTGTGTTTCTGTGATTGAATGTGTGTGTGAATGACACGCAACAATATATCCAAGCTATATGACGACCGTCTGTAAATAATAGTCAGAACCAGACAATCCAGTGATTCATATCATGAGCAGTCGGGGTACGTCGACACGCAATCAAACAGGTCACCGAGTCTGATCAGCCGAACCATGACGTCACCTGTTACGATCAGCATAGGCTGCTACTGACCTGTTCTAACCCGGAAACCCCACAGGTAATTTTTTACAGGTGCGTGTGTGCTTGGGCACTTTTGTGTGTACGTGTAGATTTGCCGTTATGTTGTCTGAGATAGCACCCACCTCATACTCGACCTGCTTATCTGTGACTGGGTGACCCTCCTTCTTCCATCTGACCAGTCCCCCACTCAACACGGATACGTTCGTTATTCCGTGAACCTGTGGGGACCATGAAGTGAGTGGGTGAATGTAGTTTGGTGCCGCAGTTATTTCAGGTACGTCACGTTATCATTAAATAATCGAGTCTATGCCTTGATACATCAACTGTAAACATGAGCAATTACAACAAAATCCACACAAAAAGGCATGTGACACATAACCACCAAGCCTGACAGCCGTTCTAACTCAATTGGAATGCTGAAGTGCTTTGTTAACCAGGGTCTCCGTGTGGGTTTATTTATTTGTCGTTCAACGCCGCACTCAGGAATATTCCAGCTATATGACGGCGATCTGTAAATAATTGAGACTGGATCAGACAATCCAGTGATTGACATCATGAGCATCGATATACGCCATTGGGATACGATGACATGCATCATCCAAGTCAGCGAGCATGACCACCCGATTCCGTTAGTCGCCGACAAGCATGGGTCGTTGAAGACCTACTCTAACCCGTATGTTCACGGGGAGTCTCTGTGAGTGACCGGGCTTGGAAGAAGTCAATGTAATAATGGGAGAATAATACGTTACTCTTAGCAGCCACCATCCTCGACATGCTTTAGATCCGTTTTGATCGACGTTTTCGTACAGGATGACGTGACTAGATGCGTTGATGCCGAGAGATCTCACGTAATCTTGGAAATCTGTGGGATCTGGTAGCCCCAAAGGGAGGTATTGAGTGAAGGGGGCATTCTTTTTTAAGTTGAAAAACTGTGCTCCTTGTACATGTTCACTGAAAAGTATTGAAAATGAATAAATTGTGTGAAAGTAAATGATCAATGTCACAGAATATATGCATGCATACACGTTGCAGCAATAAAACATTAATTATTCAATTTAAGCTCCATCTAAAGACCATTATAAATGTCGCGGTTTGTTTCTGCTACACATAACCTTATCTTTCTGAAAAGAAACCTCAACAAATCTAAAGTAATATTCATGGCCGATTTTAATCGGAAACATTACTGAAACAACCCTTTGGTCGCACCTCCAAAACGCAACCTGGGCCCTACGTGACCTAACACAATTACATGCAACATGAAAACATTCTTACCTTTTAAAATCGTCTGTAGATGGACCAGCTGGTCCAATGGTTGTATCAAAAATTCTTAAATCTTTGTTTCCGACTTTTATTTGACTTGAGAGCCATTCCGGCGTCACCACTGGGGAGGCCATGCTCCCCGCGCTCGCACCTAACAGGCCAAGAGTGAAAGATGCCGACAGCGCCTCTCGAAATAATCTCGGTCAGTAGGTCAAAACACAGGGCCATGCACTGGACCATGTAACTAATGATAATAATAACAAGCACCTCGCAGACGAGGCCGAAGGCATGTACACCATGTAACTAAAAGTCAATACGAACAAATTCGCAGACGACCTCGAAAGCAAGTTTGTCAGCATTGCCTATTAGTTAATGACCCTGTGGTGAAAATCGCTCGCCTATTGAATCTGGATAATGGGCTGTACAAGTAATCTGCATAAATGCATGTGTTTGGGTGTTTGCGAATATCTGTAGTAAAGGCATGTGAGGCTAGTTAAGTTAAACTCGGTGAAACGAGACATAAGTTTGCAGGGCTCACTAATACCACCGATGCGCTTACTTCGACGAGCAATTTGTGTCAGTGGCGGTTGCTGTCGGTAGGGCAGGACACGCTTGCTCTTTTCGCGAACACCTGGTGTCATCACTGAATTTCATATCATTAATCACTGATCCATTCATATAATTTTCACCGCTATTTCGCCTTTGACACCCGATGGAATGTGTTCCGCTGGATTACCAAGACTGGTTATTCTCCAGCGCTGACATATTATATTTACCAGTGATTGATATTATGAACAACTACGCCGGCCGTCGAGATACGATGACACATAATGGACTAAGTTCCCGAGTCTGAGCACCAGATGCATATACGACTATTCTAACACGGATCTCCACGTGGAGGAACAGCAAGCGCCCCCAGGGTAGAATAGGCAACCCATGCTTGTCGTAAGAGGCGACTGATGGGGTCGGGTGGTCAGGCTCGCTGACTTGGTTGATGCATGTCATCGTATTCCAGTTGCGTAGAAAGATGCTCATGATGTCAATCACTGGATTGTTTGGTCAAAACATGATTATTTACAGACCGCCGTCATATAGCTGGAATATTGCTGAGTGTGGCGTAAAACAACAAACAAACATCAGAGATATATCTTTAGTCATTCCTCGATGCATTCCGACACAGACGTCATCCGTAATGGGATGTCCTCAGATCTTTGATTAGCGGTAGTGAAAACCAAGTTATGATTTTAATGAGACTTACTCCGAGCCGAATATTCCTTGTTTTAGTCCCTTTATGCCGAGCGCCGGGCAGGGTAGCAACAAGTACCATGTTTTAACGTCTTTTGGTATGACGCGGCAGGGGATAGAATCCCGGACCTTCCACTCCCCGGGCGGACACGATACACAGAGACAACAACACATGAAAATGTGAACCTACGTTTATTTCAACTTGAACTGAAGCCGGTAATACGTCAGTTCAATTAAAATAACTCACACTAAAGTGCCGAGCAACAGAACGTATACACACATATTTATCCGTTTGTCTAAAAATGAAACAAAAAAGAAATGTTTATTCGATGGTGATGTATTTGACACAAGTTACATAGTCAATATTGGATCCTAAGATTATAGTGTTTCGGCGACTGTTTTCAGCCTAGTAACGTTTTGATAACGTTTGTACTGTTTTGGTCAAATCCAATTTTCAAGTGTATTCTTTCTTTTGCCAGACAGTTTATATTCGTATTACAGCAATCAGTGTGTTCCAACCTGAACAGAATGTTCCTGTCAAATGTTGAGTCGTATGGTTCATACCACGCTTAAATGACTGCTATTTAGGACTCTGGAATTACTTTAATTGTAGTTGATGTTACGTGACATCATGCAGCAGCAGCAGATACCAGGGTCTTTCACAAACGAGGAAGGACCGTGTTGTCACTGGGTACGTTTTGAAAGCTAGCACTCCACGCTGGCGTCAGGTGCTCTTTGTCCGTACTCAGTCCAGGAACCCTTGAAAGATTCAAAAAGTCCACACAATGTAGTGTATGGATAATAGCTTCTTTATTTACTGTAATAGCGAGGTTTCGGTATAAATCCTTATATATGACCTAGAAACTGAAGACGGATCTACACCGAAACATTGGTGTTTCAGCTAAAAAAAGAGGTTGTTCTGCATGAATTGTGTCTAATGTGCCATATTTCCTTCTTGAATTTTAGTAAATTTTAGTTGAATTGTTCAGTTGTTTTTATATTTCTTTCAAGTATATAACTACAATGTTCCCGGGGCGGTCGGGTAGCCTAGTGGTTAAAGCGTTCGCTCGTCACGCCGAAGACCCGGGCTCGAATCCCGACATGGGTACAATGTGTGAAGCCCATTTCTGGTGTCCCCCGCCGTGATATTGCTGGAATATTGCTAAAGGCGGCGTAAAACCAAACTCACTCACTCACTACAATGTTCCCAAAATACCCTTTATCAAGCGTGATTTGACGTGACTATCTCAAGGTCGGATCAACGTCCAAGGATTTGATTTGGTTTGGTTTTGGTTTGTTTGTTGTTTAACGCCATACTCGGCAACAATCCAACTATATGACATCGGCCTACAAATAATCGAGTCTGGACCAGACAAACCAAGGATTGGAATCATGAGCATCGATCTACGCAATTGGGATACGATGACATCATCCAGCAAGTCAGAGAGCTAACCGGATCGCCTCCAACGACAAGCAAGGGTTACTGAAGACCAATTCTAGCCCGGATCTTCACGGGTACAGCGACCAAGAAAACAATATCGAATACTCGAATGACCCAGTAAGCCGATCACGATGTAGTAGCCCCTACACTGTCCAGCCATGATACGAGGACCCAAACAAACACTGTCTAGCAGTAACCTCGCCGTTCAGCCCGCAGAGTAAGATAATCGAGAGATCTTCATATTCACTCTTGATTAAACCCAAATTGACCAGCTTTGTGTGATGCATGAAGTTTTTCTACACGTCAAAAACATTTTCCAATCTCATTAAAATCAGATCTTAGTTCTCGCTACCGCTAAACAAAGATCTGAGGACATAAAGGGTTACGTCAGAAGGATCTTTCATCCGACCAATCAGAGCGTCGCTTACCAGATCATGAAAGTGACAGTCGAATGTGATTTCTAATTGTGCAACCTCGTAAACCTTAAAACGGGGTATTCCGAACGATAGTTACGGGCTTAACGACTGAATCTATACAATCTAGACCATATATTAGCCATTCGAGAATTTCTTTTGTTCAGGTTTCAAATTTTTAAGCGGGAATTTGTCAAAATATGTTTCGAAGCGTAGTCGCCAATTTGAAATTAGTGCCGTAAAGCACGAGAAAGCTGCCTTCTGATTGGCTAATGTCGACTTCTTGTCACTAATTCCATTGGTCGATCAGAGTTAGAAAGGTCGGTCTGACGTGACCCGTTATGGGATGTCCTCAGATCTTTGTTTAGCGGCAGCGAGAACTAAGATATGATTTTAATGAGATTGAAACATTTCCTTAAGTTTTGATAAAATGAGCGAATACTCAATACATATTAAACAGTATGCTTAACAGGCTAGTGTATTAAACTCACATAGTAGACACTGACGTCATCCTTCCCACAAACACAGGCGGCCAGGACCAGGGCACAGGCTGTGAAGCCGATATAACACGTGGACGACATGGGCCTGTCCAGCTTGACCCCAGCACACTGAAACACTGGACCACAACAGTCACACTATTACTTTATGAACTGTGACATCGATATCATATACACCACCAAAAAATAGTTAAGCATCACCAGATGCTTTCATATTACTGGAGTTTTTGTCATGGCATGAGTAGAAAAAAAGTTAACTACGGCCTTGACATGGGGCAGGATATGCTTACCCTTTTCGCGAACACCTAATGTCATAACTGTCATATTCATATAATTGTTTCCGCTATTTTGCCTTTTACGCACAATGGCTGCTGTTTCGCCGGATAGTCAAGACTGGTTATTCTCTGGTTTTGTTTTTTGCAGGTTGTAAACAAATTCGGTTTGGGCGTAGATGATTCAGGTCAAAGTACAAAGGTTAAGATTTCTCTCGGGTAACTCGCCTTTTAGAAGCTCGTCCTTCCCCTTAAACGAGATGGTGTCGTCCTGGTACAAAGAGGTGTAGTGGATGTTGACGGCTCCAGCAATGTGACCGGTCTGAAACGCCAGGCCATCAGATTTCAGTCCTAATAATTCCATGCGCATCGTTTGATCTGTTGGGCAACAGAATAGAATCAATTTAATTGAAGAGGATTGATGGACCCAAAACTTAGCTAAATGAATGTTTGACGGTCAGCTTAACAAACTACAACGGTATTCCACCATGACTCCATTTCCAGTGCAGCTGATGAGGAAACTCGCTGTTGAACTCAAAATGTATTGGATGTTTTCATGAAATATTTATGAAATGTAAAGCCGCAGTAGAAACATTTCCTGTTTTGAGTGAGTGAGTTGAGTTTAACGCCCAATTTAACAGTATTCCAGTTATGTCATGGCGTGTCAGCCTAATGCGTGAGGAAAGGTCTCAGATGTTTTCCAATTTGGTGAAACCCACGAACACGGGTATGGTGCTGACAAACATAGAAACATAATCGGAGTGAACCAGGATTCGAATCCTCAATAGGGTTCATGGGTTTCTCGCGTGCCTAAGGGACGCAACTCTGCACGACTGAGCCACCCATTTCCCTTGCCTGTTTTGAAACACGTACATGCTGAAGGCTCTTTCTCTTTGCCGTTAAAATGGTCGGCATGTCGCGTGTCCACGAACTGTCGACCATCTCCGGGTTTGATGTCATCGTAGAGCATTACTAGGCTTTTGTTGACCTTGACCGTCACGTCACCTTTCTGGGGAATATGATTCATGTGTTCTGAATTTGACAAATATCACGTTTTTTGGACAGAAATTATAAGTCCAGACACTTTTCACATTTCACATCATATTTTAACACCTGTTTTGAAAATTTAAGAAAATTGGGTTTTGTTTTTTACCGGTGCATGTTTGTTAAGGACTTGTTTTTTCAAGTGTACCTACATATTTACCGTCGTGTTGTCCAAGATAGCACCCACCTCATAGTCGACCTGCTTATCTGTGACTGGGTGACCCTCCTTCTTCCATCTGCCCAGTCCCCCACTCAAAAGCGACACATTCGTTATACCATGAACCTGTGGACACACATAGTCAATACTTTACAAGCGAAACATGACAATAGTTACTAGCAAAATATTCGTTATACCATGAACCTGTCAGGACAATGTAGTCATTACTTAACCAGCGACGCATTCGTTATACCTTGTGGCTGCATGGACAATGTAGCCATATACACGTCATGGCTACATCGTGAGTAGCCTTTGGATATTGTGTTTTTATAAAAATTAAAAAAATCCGAAAAATATCTCTATGACACAATCGAAGAGTGAGATGTAATATCCGAAAAGAACCCAAGTGAGTTCTGATAGCAAAACACAACTCCGAACGCCGTAAGGTCTTAGGTCCGCACCTGACACTCGGGTAGAGCCCATTCAGGTGATGAATACATGCTTTGAGTGCCATTAAAGAAAGACACTTGTCAGTCGTCTTTGTTATAAACCTCATTATTAGTATTTCCATGCGTGTTGATATTCTTATTATTCAAGGTAAGTTAACAACCTTAAGTTAAGTTAGTTAGTTACTGGCCAGATTTATCCCGTGAAGATCCGAGGTAGAATAGGTCTTCAGCAACCCATGCTTGCAGTAAAAGGCGACTATGCTTGTCGTAAGAGGCGACTGATGGGATCGGGTGGTCAGGCTCGCTGACTTGGTTGATGCATGTCATCGATCCCAATTGCGTGGATCGATGCTCATGATGTCAATCACTGGATTGTCTGGTCCAGACTAGATTATTTACATACCGCCATTATATAGCCGAGATATTTCTGTGTGCGGCGTTAAACAACAAACAAAACAAAAAAACAAACAAAGAAACTGGACAGATTTGAAAATGTGCCCAGTGTTCGTGTGACGCGTGGCGGTATGTGTTACTTCAGCATGCCTTTAATCAGTTCCACTAGAATCTTATAACAAGACAATACAACATGGATACAGACATAAGTGGATGGGGAAACAGGTTGGACATCTCGACTGATGCTGAAATTGCTGTAGAAAATGTGAGATGTTGTCTGAACGAAAAAAAGGGGAAACACTGAAGAAATACCAAATACACCCCCCGTCATGCACTCTGGGTAAATCATTGTTAGAACCAGAAAAATATTTATTCATCTTTGCAAGTAAAAGATCAAGGGTTGCTCTGTGTAGATTCAGGTGCGGAAATCATACGCTGGCAATCCAAACAACTGAGATGGATTGGAAAACAGGACACATTTTCTCATGAAAATCTTCTTCTGCCCGTTGTTGACGATGTTTGTTTGTTTGTTTGTAGTTTATTGTTGCACTAAGCAATATTCCAGCTATATGACGGCGGTCTGTAAATAATCGAGTCTAGACCAGACAATCCAGTGATTGACATCATGAGCATCAATCCAATAAGGCTTTGTAGATATTATGCAGAACACCAAGCAGTGCTGAACTGTTAAAGGGAGATAATGTCTTGACAGCTGTACATGAACGAGGAAACTTGTCTCAACAGTCAAAGGGAGATAATGTCTTGCCAACAGTACATTAGCGAGGAAACTTGTCTCAACAGTCAAAGGGAGATAATGTCTGGACAGCTGTACATGAACGAGGAAACTTGTCTCAACAGTCAAAGGGAGATAATGTCTTGACAGCTGTACATGAGCGAGGAAACCTGTCTCAACAGTCAAAGGGAGATAATGTCTCGACAGCTGTACATGAACGAGGAAACTTGTCTCAACAGTCAAAGGGAGATAATGTCTTGACAGCTGAACATGAGCGAGGAAACTTGTCTCAACAGTCAAAGAGAGATAATGTCTTGACAGCTGAACATGAGCGAGGAAACTTGTCTCAACAGTCAAAGGGAGATAATGTCTCGACAGCTGTACATGAGCGAGGAAACTTATCTCAACAGTCAAAGAGAGATAATGTCTTGACAGCTGAACATGAGCGAGGAAACTTGTCTCAACAGTCAAAGGGAGATAATGTCTCGACAGCTGTACATGAGCGAGGAAACTTGTCTCAACAGTCAAATACGTCGAATACGGTAATTTCAAACATGCTGTGATTTTAACTGTTGTTAATGTACTGTAATCAGATCGTCTACTGTTACAATGACTGGAGTTCCTTTTACCAATATAAGGGGCTGCACATCTGCAGTTCTTTGTATTATAACAGATGTTATTTCAAATAAGTCTTTGAAAGGCGGGGGCACGGGTGGCCCAGTCGTCTAAGGCGCCGCGATTCGCTGTCCCTTAGGCACGCCAGAAACCTATTATTGAGGTTCGCCCCAATTATGTTTCTAGGTTTGTCAGCACCATACCCGTGCTCGTGGATTTCACCCAAGTGGTAAACGTCTGAGACCTGCTTCACTTCGGGCTTTCCCTCCACATTAAGGTGACACGCCGCGATATAACTGGAATACTGTTAAAAGCGGCGTTAAATCAAACTCACTCACTCACTCTTTGAAAGGCATGAAGAAGTTAGATGAATATGACTTCATGACGTGGGAAGTCATGTATTCATGTTATTTCATTGTTGATTTTTTAATGTCTTATAACCCATTCCCCATGTTGTCAACAAAGACAGCGCGACTATGAAGGGGAAAATGTTTCACGGATGACCTGATTTCATCTATTTGGCCACCCTCCCTCCTATACAAGTATGTGCAATTTTTTTTGAATGGTGAACACACAATAGCGCCATGTGATGATGTGATGACTCATCGCGTGTTACAGTCCATTCAAAATATTGCACATGCTTTTCATGTTTCATTTTTGACGAGTCTACGCACTTAGATAAATATATGTCATAGAATGGTTAAATTTCACTGAGAAAATATCCTAAATCGTGAAAAACAATTTCTATTTGGGTACTTACCCTTTGTTTAATTTGCTTTACGGCTCCACGTGCTGTCATCGAAACCCCACGTTGAGCTAGCGATACCGCTACTTTCATGTTCTTTCGTATTTTTAAGATATATTGTTATGCACCTCACTGTCGCATTTGTCGTAGCATATCTATATAATTATGCTTAACAATGTGTAAGCGCTCCGAACGGCTTGCATTAGGCCAGTCTGTTAAGCGCGTTTGTTTCCAAACAAGAGACAAGTCCGGTCACGTAATATGCAATTGACCTGTGGCAGTTGTGTAATGTTAAACCACCACTGCCCCGGTGTGTGAATGTCGACTTAAATACCAAGTTCCAAAAGGAGAATAGGTTCAGACAGAAACCAGCAAAGTAAATGGAGAATGATACGTTACTCTTAACAGCCACCATGCTCGAGATGCTGCAAATCCGTAATGCTCAACGTTTTCGTACAGGATGACGTGACTGGATGCGTTGATGCCGAGTGATCTCACGTAATCTTGAAAATCTGCCGGATCCGGTAAACCCAAAGGGAGGTATTGAGTGAAGGGGGCATTCTTTTTTACGTTGAAAAACTGTGCTCCTTCTATATGCGCACTGGAAAGTATTGAATATGCATAAATTGTGTGCGAACAAATTATCCATGTCATAGAATTCGTTGCAGTTGTTAAAGTGCAAACCAGTACAATACTTGTATTTAACATTTCATTTATCTAAATATCTAACTGGTTCAATATGTTTCCAAATGCACCGAAATTCTATGCCCTTTGTCTGTTTAATATATTCAGCAAACATTCGGCGTATCTCCTCTTGTCATAAGCCCCTCCGGGCAGGACCCTTGATCTCCAGCGCTGTCTATAAATTTCAATTAACACCTCCTTACGTCGCCGGATCTTACGTCTATACATACACGTGGGACAATGACCTTGCCACACGTTACGTAATACCTCGCTCTACAAAACCCGACTGACATTGTCAGTCAGGGAGACAGCCATAAGGTAAGTGGCAGAGCGAGTCCCCTCCTGGGAACATTGGCCACTCGGTCCCGTCGTGCGTTCTGTCACGTTATTATCAACATGTAGCTTTTCGACTTATTCCACTCATCATCAATATACATGGCTGCTGTCGTCTAAACTTCACCCCAGAGTTTTGTCTTCCGTCATCACCCTGAGCTATCATCCGAGGGCCGAAACTTACGCCCTTGGACAGATGATGGAGAATTATCCGGGTAGCGTGACTTTGCTTTGACTCACGCACGATCTCCCTACCCTAACTCGCAGCAAAGCAAATGGTAGTTCAGAGGTGATGGGAGACATAAGTAACGTCAAGCCAGCCGCCATCTTGACGGGAAAACGGAGCAGTCGAAAGACAGCAGCCCAACCAACCCGAACGTCAGCAACGAACAGCAGCCAACCCAACCCAACCCAACCCGCAAATCATTAAACAAACACGAAATACATAAGGTAAAACAGAATAATGTGCTATTATATTTACCTCATAAATTCATCGATAGATGGCCCAGAAGGTCCAATGGTTGTATCAAAAATTCTTAAATCTTTGTGTCTGGCCTCTATTTGACTTGAGAGCCATTCAGGTGTTACCACAGGGGAGGCCATTTCGTGCACCGTCGTAAGCCAAATCTTCAGCCCGATTGCTCAAACAGTCGGGAGCCCCGCTTTGAGTAATCTGGGTCGGTTTGTTACGCGGTAGCCCGAATGCTTTAGATATGATAGCGTTGCAAAGTAAATATAACTTGCACGGGGCTGTATCAGGGCTGCGTGAAGGAATGTACCTGACAATGAATCATTTTATCCAGCGATGCGTTATACACTCTCCAAAAAAGAGGAACGCACAGGTAGATTTTTAGTAAATTTATTGTACCTAATAAAGTCGATATATTTGATTTAATATCATAGATACAAATAGGAAATTATGGATCTCGATAGTCACATGTTGTCGTTGTACAAAGGCATTGAAAAGTCATCATTGCCATGTCACATAAGGCCACAAGGTGGCGCTGAACTCAGTATATCGGCTGACAGCCCCGGGCAGCAATCACGGGTCTGCATCTCCCCGGCACTGACTGGATAAGTGTACGAAATCTGTCCTGCGGAATTCTGCGCCATTCTGCTTGTAGCGCGTTGGACAGCTATGGGGATGTCTGCGGCGTGTTCTGACGTTGACGTACACGTAAATGGAGTTCATCCCAGAAGTGTTTGATTGGGTTGAGATCTGGAGATTTCGACGGCCAGGGCAAAACTTGGTGTTGGCATTATGAAGGTAGTCTACCTAAATACGAGCTGTGTGCGGTGCAGCGTTGTCCTGTTGAAACAGCTCCCTCTGGCGGTCAATGATTGGAAGAAGGTGAGGTTGAATAATTTGATTCGTGTAGCGATTTGCTGTCACATTTCCCTGAACCACAACTAAATCAGATCTCGTGATGTAGGATATGGCCCTCCACATCATGACACTCCCGCCACCGAAATTGTCAAATTCACGTACACAATGTGGGGCAAAACGCTCATTTCGACGACGATAAACACGTTGTCTTCCATCTCGCCGCTGAAGTTGAAATCGTGATTCATCGCTAAACCACACTCGTCTCCACTTTCTCAAATTCCAAGGCTGTAAGGTATGACACCACCCTCATGCATCGCTGTCGATGGATCTGTTGCAAAACAGGGACGATAACTGGTATTCTGGGTCGGATTCCAGCCTCGCGAAGATGGTTCCTGATAGTCTGGTCCGATATCCTCCCCAAACCAGGGATGCGTCCTGCAGTCTCCGTAGCTGTGGCATTACGATGACATAGGTGGAACAGTCGAATGTAGCGATCCTGTGCAGGGGTGGTAACTCTTGGTCGGCCGGTTCTCGGACGGTTTTCAGTGGAATTGAACTGTGTATATTCTAAAGGCGACAAATGGTGCTCTGGTTTAACGTTGAAGAGGCGTGCAACAGAAGACTGCGATTCCCCTCTTTGGATGCGTCCTATGGCGATGTTCCGATCGGCAGCGCTAAGTCTCGGCATTTTGGAACTTGAAAAATGTTGACAATTGAAAGACCAATTTTTGGCTTATGCTTGCCTTTTTATACCCACAACCACGAGTTACGAATGCCATTACTTTCACGTGCATTTTCCTTTACTGTTTTCCTCCATGACATTTGGGGGCACGGGTGGCCCAGTCGCGATTCGTTGTGAAGAGTTGCGTCCCTTGGACACGCCAGAAACCTATGATTGTGGGTTCGAATCCCGGTTCGCCCCAATTATGTTTCTAGGTTTGTCAGTACCATACCCGTGCTCGTGGGTTTTCAGTGAAGTGGTAAACGTCTGAAACCTGCATCACTTCGGGCTTTCCTCCCACATTAAGCTGACACGCCGCGATATGACTGGAATACTGTTAAAAGCGGCGTTAAACCCAACTCACTCACTCACTCCATGACATTTTTTAACAAGTATGAACACAATGCCGTTTAAGACATTGCAAATCGACAATGGATGCGTTTTGACGCACCGTTTGTCGAATATCAGGCCACCAACATTTTCCAATAACATTTTTCCAATTCATATACCAGATGCGTAGTCAGGTATAATATACTACATGTTCGTTTCGTTTTGTGAAGTGTGTAGTTGTCTTCAAATGTGTAATCGGGCCTGGAGAAGGCAGACCAATGGGCGATGTGTTAACATCGATATAGGGAAAGAGGTTACTCAAGTCCTAGCAGCATCAGGCAATCATGATACAGCAGTCGATTTCAGTTAAAGCTGCTGATAATGAATCAGATTCGCCATAGCAATTATAATTTTCTATACCATTTTTTTATCAGCGGAACGGGAAAGAGTGGCAGGTAATACTTGACGTTATTGTTTGGCGCTGGAAGAGTCGCCGCCAGTTCACGCAGGCGTCGAGCACCACGTACACTTACGGTTTCTGATGTGCATGTTGTTCTTTTAAGGAAGACGATAAATGGCGTAAATTTAATTTTAAAATGAACTACATTGCCTTGTCCTTGATATATAAGTTGATTCAGCACGGTCGGGCCTAAAGTGAGTCACACTCAGGTACCCAAGTTAGCAGAGTAGACATTTGTGCGTAATTTCAGCTTGGCTAAATGAGACAAAATTAAACAAGAGTCATCAGATGACATGTCACCCGGTCTGGTGCAAATCGGAAATGGAGTTTGGCTACTTATACCCAACTTCTGGTTTATTGCCATTGGATACCTTCTGTTCAGTGAAGAAAAGAAAAAATGCTGTTCAGTATATTTCAAAATCCAAAATCATCAAAAGGCACCAGTTCACCACGAGACTGATCTGTATAGCAAGTTTCATCTAGAAGAAGTCAACGGTTTTGGAGTTCTTTTCCGGAAACGAACACTACCCTCATTTTCAGTAAAGTCCAATTTACCGTCATGAAAACATAACCTTTTAAAAAAATCCCAAATCATCAAAACGCACCAGTTCACGCGGTCTGATCTGTACAGTAAGTTTGATCTAAAAAATGTATTTCAACGGTTTGGGTGTTCTGCCCCGGAAAGGAGCACTACTCTCAATTTCAGTATGAAATCTAACTTATTGTCAATGAAAAAACAAATATAACAAATGTTACATTTGGGATATCACTTTCTTGGTAAAGTACAGATTCTCGTACTTTTTTGGGTTGAGTCCCGTCCGTGATTCGAACCCACACCGCCAGAGTAAAGCACCTCATGTCCAGCACACTAAGTCAGAGATCCAACCCACTCAGCCACCGAGGCGTTCACAAAAATGAAAGTCCGACAACAGGTAGTCTAGATCACGTACTTTGTGTAATCCCAAATCATCAAAAGGCACCAGTTCACACTAGTCTGATCTGTACAGCAAGTTTGATCTCTTATAGAAGTATTCAAAGGTTTAGGAGCTCTGCTCCTGAAAGGGGAACTACCATCATTGTTAGTGTAAAGTCCAACTTATCGTCATGAAAAAACAAATAACTAAATAAAATAAAAAATAAAAAATCATCAAAAGGCACCAGTTCACCACTAGACTGATCGATATAACAAGTTTCAACAAGAAATAATAACGTTTGGGAATTCTGCTCCGGAAACGGAAAACTGACGGACGGACGGACGGACAACAAGTCCAAGGTATCCGTCGGATGAACTGTATATGAAACATTTTACAGTTGTGTGCACTGACAAGTTCCGAAATTTGAAATACTGCTTTAATGAGATATTATGATCAAAATAAACTCAGTCTGTTATATTTGTGTTTTATCAAGACTTCTATTTTGTTGAAAAACACATGTGTCAATAACGAGAATATTACGCTCGTTCAAGTTGATATCTCGTCAAAAATGTGTTATTATGCAGTCAGGACATCAATTTATTATGAAATGGAAACGCTTAATATTCTCTACATCTTCGTCAGCTGTCACCGTGATACACATTTCTCCACATATACGAGCAAAATCACATGTAAAGAAACTATTTATTTCTCTAACATCATCGTGGATTGTTAACTTTGCGAGTGGCTTTTGGCTATTTCATAATAAACATTTATTACTTACAAGACGTCAACGCCAACGCATAACCAGTCTCGATTATCTGCCGAAACAGATTCCATTATGCGTAAAAGGCAAAACGGTGATGGAAATTATATGAATAGATCACTGAAAATCAGCTTGATGTATTAACATCAATGGACAATTGTGTACATAAATTATTAAAAGCCGCAAAACCCGATCAGTAGTCATAGAGTCCTTTGTACGAGTCCGACTACATCATGAGGATGTGTTTAGGAGTCACTGATAGTGATGATGCCACACAGAAGCACAGACCATTATATATGTCATGGAAAAAGAACAGAACTGCGGCCTGCAAATCATCGACATGCTCATAATGAATAACTCTTTAACATAGAGAATCAGTGGTAATTGTTGAAGCTGAAACATGAAGCTCATCATGTGATTCCCTTCGTTTGCCACCACCAGCAGGCGACAATTCAAGCTGCAGCGGATACCCTGGTCCTCATCGATGGTGGACGATTGTTGCAACTGTGTACGTTTTCAAAGTTTGCATTCAACATTAACGTCTGATGCTCTTTGTCCGTACTCAGTCCAGGAACCCTTGAAAGATTCGATATTCATATTAAAAGATGAAGGTCGACACAAAAAGTAAAACTTAAGCAATTTGAAATATATAAACAAAGATTGTGCTAGTCATTGGGAATATATATTCAAAAGTAAATGTGTTGGGTTTTTTAAAACCGAAATATCTTCCTGCATTTTAATCCACTAAATATCAATAAGAACATTAATGCATTTTGAGATAAGTTACATGCAATAATGTTTATCCAAGCATTTTGGAAAAGCATTAACATGAAGCGATTCATTTGTGTTAACAAAGTTGTTCAAGTACATGAGTTTAGAAAAAACTCGCACTCACGTGAGAGACAATAAAAATTACAGTCGAACCTCTTTGTGTCGAACTTGGATGTTTCGACCTCCTGGTTGTCGCGAACTCATTTGGGAGTCCCAAGTATCCAAATTAGCATAAAATTCCGCTGACGTCTCGAAACTTTTTCCAGGTCCAAACGAATTCGACACAAAGAGGTTCGAATGTATTCTAATATTGTCTTTGTGGAGATATGACACGTTAGATTATCAGAGTATCAGCTTCAAGTCCAGCAAAACAAAATGTTTTGACAGACAATCCAGTGATTGATATCATGAGTATCGATCCACGCAATTACGACATACAATAAACAGACCATTACGTAGTAGATCCCAACTATGACAAGGCATGATACACGGATTCGATCAATTAGGAATTGGTATCAAACAGTAACCTGGACTATTAAACCACCTGGTAACTACCGTAACAGCATCCACAGTTCGACGTCTTCCTTGGTCATCACCTTTGGTTGGTGAGGTGATAGTTCAACAACATATAAGAACCTTTTGATTTTGAATATTGATTAAATTAGTAAATACTTAATGATCTACAAAGACTGTATTCTACTCACATAGTAGACGCTGACGTCATCCTTCCCACAGACACAGGCGGCCAAGGCAAGGGTACAGGCGGTGAAGCCTACGTAACAGGTTGACGTCATTGGCTTGTCAAGCTTGACCCCAACTGACTGAAACACTGGACCACGGGATTAATTCTATTAATTAAATGGAATGTATAATTGATATCAGTATATATTGGACATGTACATGTAAGTGTGCGTGTCGCGATGTGATTGATTGAAGCATGTGATCAAAGGAAGCCATCGAGCCATACACAAGGGATGGAAGTCCTAAAGTACCACGTGACCTAAATACGTCATAATGGAATTCCCTTTCTGCATACCGCATTGAACTATCAGTTAGGACGTCTGTGTAGAAAAACCCAGTGAAGTTAGAATTAGAACGACAATCTTAGTAGATGTTAGTAGTTAGTAGGATGAATCAGCTCTCGGCATGAACGTTCGATGGCTAACTTTAAACGGGATCAAAGGCCCGAAATTATTCTCGACTTGCAACTATGTATGTTTTTAAAAAAATAAATACTATAATCTATTTCATAGTATTGTATTACGGATCGTTAAAAAAATTATGATCCCGAGACTCAAATACTCAAATGATACCCATACGGTGGCACATAATGCTGGTTAAAATAAAGCGACAAAACCCTTTTAATATCCAATAGCAATCGCAGCCCAAAGCAGTCGATTGTTCGATTCCGACTACATCATGAGCATGTGTTTGTGAATCACTATCAAATAGTGATAACACCAGGTGATTGCGGAAAAGAATGAGCGTATCCTGCCCCACCGGTGAAACCCGTCAGAAACACACGCAAAGGCAAGTCAATTGTTCAACCGAAAAGGCACATCCAACGGTGATATTTAGGACCCACTAGAGAAAGAGTTATGGTTACTCACTTTGGAGAAGTTCATCTTTCCCTTTGAGAGAGATGGTGTCCTCCTCATACACAGTAGGGTAGAAGATGTTGAAGGCTCCGGGAATATGCCCTGTCTGAAGCGTGAGGCCATCTGACTTCAGTCCCACATAATCCATGCAGAACGTCTGAACTGTGCGTCAGGGAATAATAAATACTTTTATCGAATTATTGAATCACTGCACCCCTAAAAATATAAAATTAACATGCAAGATGTATTCAGTTGGAAACTATCAAAGATTAGGCCTGTGTTGATATTTAATTTTATTGATCGTTAGTAAATTCGATGTTTATTGTAGCAAAATTACAAGACATATATATGTCAACATATATTTGAACTTAAGATTCTCGAGGTGTTTAAATCAGACATTCGAAAATTTATTGTCATAAGTACATTTTGAAGGCTCTTTCTCTTTGCCGTTAAAATTGTCGGGGTGCCGAGTGTCCACGAACTGTCGCCCATCGCCGGGTTTGATGTCATCGTACAGCATCACCAGGCTTTTGTTGACCTTGACCGTCACGTCACCTTTCTGGGGAATATGATCAACATATACCCATTTAGACGAATATAACGTTTTTTATGACATATATTTTAAATGTTTACACACTGTTATTTCAGATTTTAAATCCCATTGAACGTATATTTTCATATTTAAGTTCATTTAGTTTTACTTTAGTTTCTGTGACCAATTTTGTCTGAATAGTACGTGTACAACTAACGTGATTGTCCAACTGAGCACCCACCTCATACTCGGCCTGCTTATCTGTGACCGGGTGACCCTCCTTCTTCCATCTGACCAGTCCCCCATTCAAAACAGACACATTCGTTATACCATGAACCTATGGAGACAAAATAGTAAATACTTTACAAGGGACACATTCGTTATATTTCACAAAAATATGATTCCCAGCGACACATTCGTTATAACGTATATCTGTAGGGACCATGTAGCCATTACATTCCCAGGGACACATTCGTTACACCATGATTCCCAGCTACACATTCGTTATAACGTGTACATGTAGGGACAATGTAGCCATTACATTCCCAGGATACATTCGTTACACCATGATTCCCAGCTACACATTCCTTATAACGTGTACATGTAGGGACCATGTAGCCATTATATTCCCAGGGACACATTCGTTACACCATGATTCCTAGCTACACGTGCGTCATAACGTGTACATGTAGGGACCATGTAGCCATTATATTCCCAGGGACACATTCGTTCGCACCGCTCGATTGAAACGCACGGCATGAGACGAAATGTGATAAAATTTAACGTCGTGTCCAAGACTATTGCACGTGCGCGCCAGGCAGAGTAACAGGTACTATTAATAACTTTTGTGGCATCACACCAGCATGAGAGTTAGGCTGACGAACCTAATCAGTCATAATCGGGCAGAATGTAGGATTCGAAATCAAGACCGGCGTCCTGATGACAAAGGGACACCAATCTGAAAATCTATATGTAGCGCCTTACATACCATTGTTAACACGAAGTCTAGTGCCTTAATACCACGGTTAACACGAAGCCTAGCGCTTTACATACTACGGTTCACATGAAGCCTAGCGCCTTACATACCACTGTTAACACGAAGCCTAGATCCTTACATACCACGGTAAACACGAAGCCTACCGCCTTACATACCACGGTTAACACGAAGCCTAGGTATCGAAGAACAGAGACAAAATGTCGAGTTATCGTGACATGACATTGAATGAAACCAGTGTAGTAAATGGAGAATGATACGTTACTCTTAACAGCCACCATGCTCGAGATGCTGCAAATCCGTTAAGTTGAACATTTTCGTACAGGATGACGTGACTGGATGAGTTAATGCCGAGAGATCTCACGTAATCTTGAAAGACGGAGGGATCTGGTAGCCCAACAGGAAGATACTGAGTGAAGGGCGCATTCTGTTTTAAGTTGAAAAACTGTGCTCCTTCTATATGCGCACTGAAAAATAACATTGCCGAGCCATGAAACCTTGTATTGGTACATAATCAATGATAGACACAACATATATACATGATATATTAAGCAAAGCTGTACGTTTATGATTTTACGAAGTTCCAATTAAATCTTGAATAGAGTCTATACAATTTTAAACCTTACATTATTATAATATGCAGCTAACTCTCTGTCACACATTCTTAATTTTGCAAAAAGAATGAGAACAACTCAAGAGATATGTATTTATACTTTCAAATATACACGTATTTTGTCATATGGCATTGTCATATTTTGTCACGGATGTGTTATTATTGTCAAATGTGAATGGTAATCAGAAACACGTTTTGGGCTACTGAAACATACCACTGGTCGCACCCCTAAAACGCAACCTGACATTTCGCATATCACCACTACAACCGAACACTGCATAAAGGTGAAATAGAGCCTAACGTCGCGTTCAAGGTTATTCACTAATATTGCGACGCGCATGAACGTGTTTTTCCGGCTGTACTAGTTTGAGCAAAATATTAGAAGGTGAAATGCTGTCCAACTACAAGACAATCACATACTATAATTTGTTACCTTTTAAACTCATCGACAGATGGCCCAGAAGGTCCTATGCTTGTATCAAAAACTCTCAAATCTTTGTTTCCGGCCTTTATTTGACTTGCGAGCCATTCGGGTTTTACCACAGGGGAGGCCATTTTCTTCCAACCGATGACAAACGGGTTAAGCTTGAGAGCAACAGTACAACTGGATGTCGGGAGCTCCTCGCAGAGTAATTTAGGTCAGTAGGTCAAACTCCCTCGTCTTTTGATTCAATCAACGAACAGCTACATAGAGTGAACGCTTCTGAATATCTCTACATAGATGTTCAATATGCTATCTCATAGAGAAATGTAAGGCTAAGTGATTCGTGTAAGTTAAAGCTGATAAATATAGTCGGCGACAATTGTCTTTTTGGAGGGTGTGCCCTTGCTATGAGTAAATATTGTGCAATAACGATTGAACCAAGGTGAACTGACATACGTGACGATAGCAAACACGTCCCATGGTTCGCGTTTCCAGAGTTCAAATACTGCGTACACATATCAATCATATTATCACTATGCCCCTATCCAGGTAGCTGTCTCCGTCCAGAACATACTTTAACAGTGTCTGTTTCAAGAAGTATTGTAGTTCTTAGTCAGATTCTCACTGGGACCCTTTCCTTACTGATTTGTGCAGAGTTGCGTCCCTTGGACACGCAAGAAACCTATGATTGTGGGTTCGAATCCCGGTTATGTTTCCAGGTTTGTCAGCACCATACCCGTGCTCATGGGTTTCACCGAAGTGGTAAACGTCTGAGACCTGCATCACTTCGGGCTGTCCTCCCAAATTAGGCTGAAACGCCGCGATATAACTGGAATACTGTTAAAAGCGGCGTTAAACCCAACTCACTCACTCACTGATTTTTATTAGCTAACCAGATCCGAGACTTCACGTGAGGTAACGATGTGTGACTTTCTACTTTCCGATTCGGAAGAAGGGCTAACTCTTTGGAAGATATTATCTCCACACATTAGTCCATTTGTATGGCGCTAAACTCCATACCAGCTGGTGTGCTCATGGCGCTTACATTATTACGCCGGTCAATGGAACAGTGTGCACTCGATTTTCATTCCCAGCTCCCTAGGGAGTATACAAGATAAGTGATAGCAGGGATAACACAATGGCGCTCGATATTCCTTCATTCCATAAAACTGACCCTTCCCCTTTAACTCATCAACGAAGTAATTTCAAGCAATAATGGCGAGATCGTTTACAGTGTGATTGGGGTGTAAACAACTTTAGAATTTTAGTTACATCACGTGACGCACGTGCTTTTTACACTGTGGTGGAAAACACGTACCCAGGATTTTGCGATGGTTGGCCAAAGCGTAAGTGGCAGCGAATGTGAGATTCGAACCATGACACCATGTCCTGGTATGTCCTAGAGGTACAGATCAGACATAAATGCTTAGCTCACCTATTACAAACTCTATTAGACCACACCTTCTGCGTTGCAACTGACGTGCCTACTTCTCATGTGGGATTTTACATACCTGGAGTGTATTTAAATATAACATGTTAATATTTAGAAAATAATATTAAAACAAAAGTGTTTTACTCAATCAAATAGGTTATGTTCTGTTTCGCAGATTTGAGAATATAAATGCTTTGTTTTTTACTTAAATTTTCTAATGCCTTTCTATAGTTATCCTTCTGGAAAGAGAGAGAGAGAGAGAGAGAGAGAGAGAGAGAGAGAGAGAGAGAGAGAGAGAGAGAGAGAGAGAGAGAGAGTATTTCCGTAGAGGGGCCACCGGTCCATTATACAGCGCACACGGTAACATATCCAAACGATGCAAACATATAAGCATCATATATATTGACGAAATAGTTGACATTGTTTTAGAGCTAGAAACACATATTCGTCCAAAAAGTTGATAACGTATTTACTATTTGAAACGTTAATTGTTTAAACTTAAGTTGTTTTATTTGAGCTACGATATAATACCGTTGAAGGTTGTCATTACGTAGGTCATTGTGAAATGCACATTCCATACAGAAATAATATTCTGACTCAATAATTGGAACAATACAAACTAGTCATGATCTTTAATTACGGACTAAACCCATCTGTCTCCCCTTTTCAGTTAATAATTTATGATAAGAACAACGGAATTTTTACAATGCAATACAATAAGCAGGAACTGTAACAATCATCAACTAATTCTTAAGTTTATTTTCGAATTTTATATTTACTTCTGTGTATTTCAAGTCTAAAGAAAATAACAATATTTTCCAACCAAAATTGATTAACTGTTGATATACATCTATCTTTAAAGCTAGACAAGAACATACTGACACAGCCAACGTCATGGTTCATCCAGATATAACCCAAGCCATAACTATATAACAGCTTCTTAACCTGGAGTGCCCAACAATTACATCTACCTGCAGCCATATTATACTGATATTCATAAGCTCTTTTTAAAAAAGCATTATGCTGCTAACACAGCCCACTTACCCAATACTACATTGTCCTGACATACTCAATACCCCTCAGTTAGAAACGACCCGACTCACCTCTAGCCACTATGTTACGAGTTGTTCTACCTAGGTCAAAATATCTTTACAAAAATGAATTTTTTTAATAGGCATTTGTTAGAAGTTGACAGATGTCCAAGTAGACAAAAAAATATGGATAAGAACTTATCACGGTATCATAAAAAAGTTATTATCCATAATTATTTTGTCCCCTTTGTTTCGGAATTTGTCACGTGATACATCAAGTGACGTGTGAAAGTCCCAGACTTAAGTGGATACATTAAAGAGGCAAAACCTTGACATCAAATATATAAAATAGACAATCGTTTGGCGAATTGACAAAATTATTCATATTAGGCTAAACATTTCTGGTAACCTTCAAAGCCTGATCGGAGAAAACTGTCTGGATAACATGCAACGAACCTGAGTTTGAAAAATGGATACCCAAATACTAATATGTAGATACGATGTCTGCACTGTCTCCATCAAATACGTTTTTTTCACATTTCTGTCATAGGTCCACCTGTCTTTCTAAATATGATTACTTTAGTCTTTTTGAAATTTACTTTTCAGCTGTCATTTATTACAATGTTGGGGATAATCTACTCCTCCTCTGCAAACCTAATGTTTACAATCAAATAACGCCATGTCATCGGCAAATATACTGAACCGCAAAAGAAACATTACCCCACTTAACATTGCATGAAAAGTTGTCATTTAAATATCTGGGTAATTTTTGTCAAAGTTTCTAAAATTTAACATTACCTTGTCCGATCGCCCAAACGCATCACTGCAACGGCCATGGTAACCCGATGCACGTGAGTTCCGTACAAATTGAAATACACATACGTTTCCCCATTTCTTGCTCTATAAACATCCACAGAGATCGGATAACATTCATTCGTTATTGAATTGCTACCACATGCCAAGATTGACAAGAAATCAGCGACACCGAGCCCTTGGACGATTACAAGCTGGACAAACCGCCCGGCAAGTAGCCAATGCATTTCAAGTCCACGTAAGGACCATATACAGGCTCCAGCAACGGTACCAGACCACCAACACTATAGATGACCGATCACAGTGGAAGACCAAGGGTCACCACCTGACGTCAGGATCGTCAGATTGTGCGACAGCATCTTCAAGATCGCTTTGTTACTGCTGCGGAATCGGCTCGACAGACCATGGGGAAACACCAGCGACACATTAGTGCGGACACCGTGCGTCGAAGATTGACGAGCAGACATCTCCACTGTCACACGCCTCATCGAGGACCCAATCTGACCCCGCGTCATCGCCGGTCTTCAGTGGGCAACACAGCACCAGCATTGGCGCCACCAACAGTGGAGAAGAGCCATTTCTGTATCTCAACAGCAGATGGCCAAGAGAGAGAGAGTCTGGCGACGCCGTGGTGAACGTTATTCGGATACTTGTGTTGTTGAGAGAGACTCGTGGGGTGGTCCGAGCATCATGGTGTAGGGTGGATTGATCTTGCACAGAGGGTCGGCCCTGTGGTCTTCCAGGACATCGGTCCTGGGAGAGGCAATGGTGTCACAGCAGGTCGGTACATTGATCAAGTCTTGAGACCACACGCCATACCTCATTTGGCACGTCGCCGCAACCACGAGTTTCATCATGATATTGTCCGTGCCCACACTGTGAGAGCAACAGGAGACTTCCTCTAGAAGAATGGCATCAGAACTTTGCAGTGGCCTGCCCTCAGTCCCGATTAATATGCCATTGAGCACCTGTGGGACGAGATTCAAAGGCGGCTGAATGACGTCAGACTTGTGATGCCATATTCTCAGGGACTAGTGTTGTGTTTCACTTTAAGAACATTTGACTTTTTAATTCCAACCTTGATGATCAGTCTTGCCAAATTTCGTCTTTTTAATATGTCTCAAAGTATGTTTACAGTGTTTAGACAAATAAGGTTTCTCATATATCTATCCATGGTGAGCTTTCTTTTGCGGTTCAGTATATTAACATATATATATGATGAATCTCTATACATCTATGGACATCCTCTCCCACGAAATCAACAGTGTCATTTACGTAAGATGAAAATAGAAATGAGACCATATGACGACCCTGGCGAACACCAAAACTACAATAAAAACCTTAGTAAAGCCTTCATTTATTGAGACACAAAACTTAACATCATTTTCATACATTTCTCCAATCAAACGAAATAGCTGACCCTTATTACTGGAAGTTCATAACTTAAATAAAAGACCACTTCTAAATACCTAATCAAATGCAGCCTTAAGGTCAATAAAATCACTATAGTATCTTCCCTTATGGAGACAAGAGTCCTTCTAGTGACTAGGTACTGGTTGTAACCCCCCCACCCCCCCAACCACATTCTATGAAAAGTATAGAAACACAATACCGTTGCGTTATCAAAACATAACATTTCCTAAAATGTAATTATTGCCTTAAATGAAATTAATTCCTCTTTATTACTTATTGATTACTTAATTCCCTGTAATTCTACTTCCATGTTTACTGACGACATTGGGCAAAAATATACTTTATGTTTTCATCCTGCGAACAATATTTGGGTCGTTACATTTTTATGAAATCAGTCATATTGCTATCTGGCCTGATGTGACGACATTTTGGCTGAACGTGCATCTGACCAACCGGATTTTGTTTAACATTCGTGCAAACATTTACTGAAGGATGTGAAACGGGGTCATCGAATGACTAAAATGCAAAATGAGCTGTGTTTCGGTTCCGTTTACAGGAATCTGTAATTTTATCTGTTGTTGAATGCTATTACTTATGGTGCTTTTAGTTACCGTGCGTATACGGTGTCAGGTAAGGTTGGCAGAAAAAATATATGGCGAGGCATTCACCTAATATGACACCATACACGGCAACTAAAGACACTATGACGAATTTATTATGCCGAAAAATTTACACTATTATGTAGCTCTGTCTTTACCGTACACAACCAGTTGAAGGAGAATGGTCTACGTGTGTGTGTGTGTGTGTGTGTGTGTGTGTGTGTGTGTGTGTGTGTGTGTTCATAACGAACACGTTTATAACGAATTGACGGATATAACAATTTTTCCCCCCGGACATTTGCAGTGTATATGCTGCATATATGCTTATAGCGTACAACGGTTATAACGAACTAAATTTAGTGGTCCCTTTCTGTTCGTTATAACCGTAGTTTACTGGCAATACGAGCTATATGGTCAATAGATGACATGAGGTCACATTACAAGTGTCTCAGCTTCAAAACAGCCGGAATTCCAAAACGAGTGTTTCAGTAACACAACACTACCGCTTGCATTTCATGGTGTGGATATAGAATGGTCCTATAAAATATCAAAGTCAGTAGGAAGCAACACTTACACAGTATGCAACGAGTCTGAAGTGTGCACTCGCCTACTTCCTAGTTGATCTCCTTAAACTGAATTGGATCAACACAGCGTGGTTATGGGTATTGTGTCTGGAGATAATGTATTTCCTTATAACCAGATAGAAAATACCAAGAGGAAATTAAATAACACTCGACGTCCGACCAAGATAAGCAAATACAAATCTGAGGAAAAACTTGCAATGCGTTTTTGTCCTTATGCCGACCATTGACATACAGTCCTTCCTAGTTACAATGTTACCGTTCGTCCAGCGGAAAATATGGCATTGTAATCAGGGTGGACTGTATATCTTTTTCCAACATAATGTTTGCAATTAATTGTTTGAAGCAGCGGCGATTGAGGTTATTATTATGAAAACGGACTGTATCATAAACTTCAAACTCATTTTTCGTTATTTTAAGAAAGTGAATGATTCTCTGTGTAAGGAATAGCCGTGAAAACAACTGAAATCAATTATTTAGTTTCTTGATTTAGAAGAAGGAATTTTCTCCAAAAGATTAACTACATAGCCCATTTTACGTAAAGAAATAAATAATAAATGGCATCATAACCAGGGAATTGTAACGTTTGTCATGAAACACATTGTCATTATAACCAATGGATTTTGTACTGCAGAAATCCGTTCATCTCGAACAACCAGGGATAGCTGTGACTGTAATCCAGCTGAATTATAAGTAAACTAGATTAATGATATGACGTTTTTACATTTTCCAACAGAAGATAACTAATGGTCTAGGATGAATGAGAGGCTGCGATACACTACACGAATAACAACCGTAGCACACTTACTCTCTTATACATAATGTACTTTCATAAAAATCATTAAGATGTGTACAAAAATGTTTATGTTGAAGAATAGTAATTTTTGTAATTTTAAATAAACTTTTTACACAAGCAGTGACCTCGTTGGAGAGTCGTTCGATAGAACGTGTTCCACATTGGGCGTTTTTAAAAACATGGTTAAAGGATCCGCCTACCACAGACGAGGATGAATATCCCATCTTCCTCAGTAACCATGAAACGTAAATAAAAGCGGGAAGGGAAATACCCGTTCGACTTGCTTCAAAGAAACACTGATACAGAAGCATGTTTCTTTCCTTTATGTTTTTTATCCGAAATAAAACTCGCCTTTGTGAAAAAAATGTAACCCAGTCCGGTCATTAGAACCAAAGCGCAACATCACAATTTCCAATTCAATATAATTTCATTTCGGTTTGTTTCCCGCTGGCCCTTGTACAATATAAGTAAACATTTTAAGCGATCACACAGTAGCATTTGATTTCAATGACAAAGTGTTTTAGACAGTGGCATTTGTTAATACAGATTTTCGTTGAGTTCCGGCTTCCATAATGTACTTCGGGCAGTTTCTAAAATAATCTGTTAATTAATTTAATGTTTATGAACATTTTACACTCAAACATGAAAAGGATTTCATTTTCATTTAAACCACATTCACACACTTTAGATGTCATATTCACCCTTTCACTTCTCCCTGTTACATTTTATTAGCAGCACGTGTAATCTAAGTGAACATATACTGGTATATCTTCTAACATTCGTCTGATTAATGAAGCTTACATGACATTCAATATTTAATAATGATGCAATTTCAATGACTGATTGATGTTACCAAGAATGCGCTTCTCATCACAATCTATTATTCTGTTCTTAAAAGTAGAAATAAACTGTGTAATATTACCTACATCCGGACTGTACCTAACAAATCCAAAACCATATGAACACAGGACACATTTAACAGATGTAGACAAGGTAACTCTTCCAGCCAGGTCTAATTTCCTCAGAAGTAAATGACACTGTTTAGGGGAGCGATCTTCAGACATCCTTAACAACTAGCACCAGTAACTAACACATTTACATGATAATCGACCGTTACTGGAAACATGCTTTCCCACACCCAGAAGGTCCGGGGTCGATCCCTGGCCGCGTCTTACCCTGCCTGACGCTCGGCATTATGGGGGTAAAAAAGGGCTAGTCAGCTCGGAGTCAGTATACTGTGTCTGAGTGGGGTATTCATGTTAAGCTGAAAGCATGGTATCTCAGTTGGCTAACACTGTAAAATTCGGTATCAGTCGGGACGAGTTCACACACACACACACACACACACACACACACACACACACACACACACACACACACACGCACGCACGCACGCACACACACACACACACACACAGATACAGGCGCGCGCGTACGTGAACGAAACGTTAATCCCATTTCACCTTACCTCACCACATCCAGCACATATTTCAATTGCGTGGATCGATGCTCATGATATTAACCACTGGATTTCCTGGTCCAGACTCGATTATTAACAGACCGCCGTCATATAGCTGGAATATTGCTGAATGCGGCGTTAAACAACAAACCAACCAACCAACCAACCAGCACATATTTACAAAAGTTCGTATGGAGGGTTCGAAACCCGACAAAGATTTTACAGTACCATATCCGTGCCACTTGATTTCAATAAGGTAATAATCGTCTACGACTAGAATAATGTTGGGCCTTCCTCACACATTATTCTGACATATGTACTACAACTGAAATATTATTCAACTCAAACGGTTGGTATTCTAACTTCTTCACGACCGCTGTGCGTCCTGTCGACAAATGGAAACTGTTCTTTCAGGAAATGACAGGGAAGTTCCGATCTACACTTCGTCGGTATAACTGCTTCAAGCCTATGGTCATATGAATTCGATTTACAAAGCTCCACATCGTAGGTCATGTTCAACACCTTATGGGTGTTCCTTGGTGCTGGCAGCTTCATACCCATGAAAGGCCGTTTTATCAATGGAAATACATCACTCTTGTTGAACATTTTATTCTTCGATCTTCGATCTTGAATGTATGTCAAGTTCGTGTTTGTGGAATAGAAGAATATATCCAGGAAGGGCCATTTCCAAGGAGTGCCCCCAGCCTGTTTGGATGCTTGGTGGTACCATTTCCAGTTTACCGTCCATCCCGTGTAAAGTTCATATTCGGGCCTCAGAGACTGCAGGAACTTCAACAACACGGGTCTGTCGTCGTCCCTCGCGATGATGTCCATGTCATCGTCCCAAGGAATCATGCCGTGGTGGGAGAAAGAACCTAGTAGTGTCCCCGCATATAAGAAATAGCTGACGTTGGAAGGGACACCTTCGCTGAAGGTCTTTATCAGTTTCTTGAACTCTTTTCTTTCCTTTTTGGATATTCTTTCAAAAAACAGATCCTTTGCTCGCTTCTCAGATGAGCAACCTTTCTGACATCTTGATGGTATCGACATGTAGTCCTTCCCTTTGAAACAGTCATCACGTGCATCTTTTTCCATATGTCGGGTAAGATTGTCCGAGATATATGATATGATGTCCTTGGCAATGTCTTTTGCAAGGTTTCTTGGGATGTCTCGTATAACAGCTCTCTTTGGGGAAGGATAGAGCAAATACATGGTGAAGCAAACGACAGATGCAAGCCACATAAAGCAGGACGTATTTCGTGACAATTTCATCCTGTTTTGTGCCGGCTGTAAAAGAAATATGACACGTTCAACATTGTTTTGGACTGACGAATCAGCCATAACTTCAGAGGTTATAATAGAAAGGTCTTATGAATATATGGAAGGATTAGGTATGATTTGATATCTAAAATAGGAATGATATTCGAAGCCGAACACTGTTTTTGATCTTTGTTTTTGTTTCTATACTGTTCATAGAATGTTGTTTTGTTTATTGTCTAACGCCGCACTCGGCAATTTTCCAGCTATATGACGACGGCCTGTAAATAGTCGAAACTGAACCAGACAATCCAGTGATCGACATCAAGAGCATCGATCTACGCATTTGGGATACGATGACATGCATCAACGAAGTCAGCGAGCCTGACCAACCGATCCCGTTAGTCGCCTCTTACGACAACCATGGGTTGCTGAAGTCCTAATCTTTACCAGGATCTTCACAGGTCCAACACCAGTTTGCCAAATATATTTCACGTCACCGGCATGTGTTATGATTATCAATTTTCTGTAAATATATTATAAATACTTTAAAATGACTATGGTACATAATGCCGCCATGTATGTATATAAACTTACTAGTATCTCTGTTAACCCTCAACATGCTATGTCTTGTAGCCTTGAGTGAAATAAAGTTCAGTTCAGTTCAGTTACACTCTTATATCTAATTATAAAGCGAGATCTGTCGGAGAATCGACGAACGAAAAACCGGATATCATTACATAGGGATATGAATAAAAGAGCTGTAGCTAAACTAACGCGTGTTTTTAAAGGGCGGGGGTATCGGTCAACATCATATTATGCACTGTCAAAAAGTACATTACATCTTGTCAGCGAATTCAGGTAATTGAACAGGTAGTCAATAAATTATGTGAAATTTGAGATGAATTATCACTAGAAATGATGTCTGTTCTGCTGAGCAGTACTTTATATGTAGAAATTAAGATTGCCATGTGTAATTTCTCATAAATCTACCAATCTACCGGTTATTCGGTTACACAGTACCCCAAAATATATCTTGCTATATGGCACTATATTTTATTGTTGGACAATGGTTGTGACTGTGTTGCATTGTTTCTGTTGGGATTCGGTAGAAGTTCATTGCCTTGTAGTATGAGAGTGATGAGTTGTCAGGGATGTATAACTGTTTAATGTAAGCAGTTTTGAGGAAGTTACTATATGTAGATGCTAGTGTCATGTGTAAACTTCCGGCATACCGCGGACTGAGATAGTGCGTTATAGCAAAATGTGGAATATTCTATATTGTGATGACATTTCGTCTCTCACACATTTCATTACATGAAAACTGGCTTTCTTGTGAAGATCACTCATCACCCCTGATTCCCTGCCAAGGACTATCTCGGAAGCTTGGCCACTGTCGACGCTGGGTGAATAATATACAATTATTACTGACATTTGCTACCACAACTGTATATGATTGGTATTTTTGTATTTTTTTTTGGGGGGGGGGGGGTAATGTGACAAAGGTCATTTATATCACAAATTCTGTTCACTATTAGGTGAGAAAACTATGTGCGAAAATGCCATTTCTTCTAGTGTGTTTGTACTTAGCGTTTCGGTACTTTCATTTATTTACTTGTGGAAATTTTCTTTGTTTCCAACTTTCGCTTTTCTGTGTATATAATGATGAAGTATCGATCGCACTTACTGGAATTATTGTTTTATTAAACAATATTATGTATCATTGCACCCTACCTACCCCGTCGAAGAAATAGATGGACCCTGAAATCGACGAAAAACCCCAAATAATGATGACGTACTTACTTTGTTCCTTTTACGGTATCGTGAGCTCAAGTCCAGCACTGACGGTGATATTAGTTTTCGAGTTATCATGGAATGTTAATATGATGAACTTGTGATTTCTGAGGAAGAAGTACAAGTGAATTCGTGTCACCTGCTAGCGTTTTGTGAATTACTCTGGCTCATGGCTGAGTGAGTTATGACACCTGGACTGACTGCAGGCGTACAACTGCAGATTATGCTGGTGTGAGTGAGTGAGAGTAGTTTTACGCCGCGTTTAGCAATATTCCAGCAATATCACGGTCGGGGACACGTATGCTGGTGTTGTGAGATGAGAGTGATTGTAGGTGGTTAATTAGCACTAATTGGCTAGAAATTTTCAGTAAAGCGGAACGGATTGAAGAGGAGGGGGAGGGAGTGGGGGGGGGGGGGGGGGGGGGGGGGGGGTGGACCGCGCCACTACAATTGATTATATTTTACAAAGTTAAAATTATATAACAGATGTTAAATCGAGGTTACTTGACACGCAACAAGGAATCCATACCGGCATTACTAGTATATACAACACAGGTAACACAACTAATTAAACGATCGCGTAGGTTCTGTACCGATATATACCCGGCTGGTTGATACAAATACAAACCTCCAAATGCGTACTTTCAATTAACCGCAATAGTTTACATTTTCACACTGTTATCTCGGCCATCCTATTGTACATCACACTGGCTACATGATGATGTAAGAAAAATATATTACTATTTTTTATTATGCTTGCACTTTAACATTATGTATGTGGGTCTTTGGCCTTAAATACACAAATCTCAAAGGGACTGTTCAACATTCAAGGGGACTGCATGTTCATTGTATCATGAAATACAATGGATTTGACGAAGTAAGCGAGAGTATTACTCAGCGAAAAACGGCGAGACAAATCGTAATGGATAAAACATGTTTGTACCCCCTCCGCCGAAAGCAGCTGCAAATACTGATACTGACGAGGCTTAATACAATATATATTCATTGTCCATTTTGCGAGCGACGGTTGGTTAAAAAGTCAATTCCCTTTCACTGATTTACTAACCCAAACAACAGAGATCAGTGAGACCGCCCAATCTGTTTCATGTTCTACGAGACTGTACCTTGACCTCTTGTTAGCTGTGGGTAACCGTGTCCTCTGGTTAGCTGTGGGTAACCGTGTCCTCTGGTTAGCTGTGGGTAACCGTGTCCTCTGGTTAGCTGTGGATAACCGTGTCCTCTGGTTAGCTGTGGGTAACCGTGTCCTCTGCTTAGCTGTGGATAACGTGTCCTCTGGTTAGCTGTGGGTAACCGTGCCCTCTGATTAGCTGTGGGTAACCGTGTCCTCTGGTTAGCTGTGGGTAACCATGTTCACTAAATGTTTCCCTGTGCGTGATGCGTATTTGAGGTGTCAATCGTTGGTTGGTTATATATAATGCGATCAAAGTTTCCTCCTAATTTGCATGCTTGAAATTGAACCTTTATGACTTACACTGATTTATACATCTTTAGTTCAAGCGTGAAAATAAGGAAAACATTTTGGTTCGCGTTTTATTTCCTTATAAGCTTCGTTATCTTTTCATGGTGATACAGATTGCGAAAATGTGGTTGCTATTATAGAACCAAATCTATCTCTATCAACGTCATAAGGTTAGGCAGACTAGTTCCAAAACATTATTTTAAAAAAAGATGCTTTTATGGCCTGTATTGATGAAGTTCAGACCATATTAATTCATACGAAACGACTCCCGCCAAATACGTTAGTACTTTCCTTTGTTTCCCTTCATAAAACTACTTTTCATTACTCTTAAAAAAACTCTCATTTCTGAACACAATTATCTGATTTTTCTTCTAAATTGACTACAACTATAACTTTTTACAGAACACCTCCAATAAATCGTATTCTTTTTGCAAGCCAATATAAATTACAAATCTGCAAACAGTAATACTACTTCCATCGAGTTGAGTTCAAATGTCCCCTTTATGCTACTATTTTTCATTTTCTGGACAAACTCATTAATAACAACGGACTCAATATATATCCCTGGCGAACTCCGCTAGATGTCATAAATATTGAACACTTGATATACATATAACTGACGACATATAAGGCGAAAGAACAGAGAAAGCAGCCGCAAGGGTAGTTATGTAACTATTGTCATGGAACAATTTCAGTCACTATAATTCACTATGCGTACGTCACCTTGTTTTTAAATGGTATTTTATATGGAAATATAATTATTGTGATCGGGCTATATCTTTAAACGATTACAATTCTCTGTAATAAAGACATTATTCGTGTTGACTATTCATACGAACAATGCACCCCCGTATATATTTTAACAAGCAATCTTTCAAATGCATTTATGATTTACATATATATGTTTTGTTAAAAGATTTTGTGATAAGCTAATGCAAATGTGAGGGAAAATGGAGTTAAACGTCGCGTTCAAAATGATTGCATGTCGCAGATTAACATGGATACCTAACTTGGACACAGTATACTGACTCCAAGCCAACCAGTCCTTGTTTGGGCCCTTTAAGGCCGAGCGCCAGGCAGAGAAAGAACAAGTCTAATAACGTCTTTTGGTATGACACGGCTGGGGTGGAACCACCGGCCTTCCGCTCTCCAGGCAGATGGTCTATCCACCAGACCAAGGAGGCGGTCAGCTAATGAGTGAGTGAGTTGGGTTTTGCGCCGTTTTTAACTCATTACAGTTATATCACAGCGTGTCAGGTTTATGTTGGAGGAAAGCCCGAAGTGACGCAGTCTTATACGTTTACCACTTTGGGTGAAACCCACGCGCAAGGGTATGGCGCTGACAGACCTAGAAACATGATCGGGACGAACCCTGATGCGAACCCAGAATCATAGGTACCTGGCGTGCCCGGGAGACGCAACTCTGCACAGCGAATTGCGGCGCCTTAGACGACTGGGCCACCCGTGTCCCCGGTCAGATAATGAAGAAATGAAGGTAAAAATGCCTCCAAAAACATAACAAAGAGTTACTCGAAAAATATGTATAAAGCCCTGACATTTTCGACCGATGACATTCAGTGAAAGTAATGGCCGAGGAATAGCTGAATCATCCACCGATTAAGAGCTAAGTGATGCAGGATATAGGCGTTACAGTGATTCGGTGTGTCTCATCTATTGAAAGCTTAGACCCCAGAAATGTTAACAATAAATAATACCGATTTAGGGTTAACGGTAACTCGATTATCGATTGGCTAAATGGTAACTATAAAACGTCAGCACCAGAGAACAACCAGTTCCTGGGTTCATGTATGTTGAGGATCTGACATAAACCAAGGATGTTTATGCTTGTGCTGAATTGTCTCTTTGAATGCCGGGTGTCTGATAGATGGAGTGTCATGTCAATCAAGTCCCACACGGAAAATCGCCTCTTTGCTTGTATTACCCTCCTACCTTAAGTCGTATGTTGTGAGTGAACCTTATATACTCAACAACAAAAGTTCCTATGACACCAATATTTTAGTGTATTTTTCAAACAAGTAAAGTTTGGTTTTCAATATTGTAGTACATGTAGGGAATCAAGTCACAAAAACGCAACTGCTACAGGAAAGCATGCATTCCATGCAAAAGTTGACTTTTATGGAAGCCCCATGCATTTCACTACCCAAGAATGGGTATAAAAACATAACTTTGCATTAAATCTTTTTCAATGTCACAGGAACTTTTGTTGTTCAGTATGTCTCCATTCACGGGATAACAAGAACCCAATACAACAGTAGTAACACGATATAGAAGTCTTTTCTTTTTAAATATTGCCTTTATTACAACATAAACACACAAAAGCATTTACAACTGTGAAATTCAGAGGAAATAATTAAATAAATTTATATCATTAGAAATGTTAAAATAAAATGAAATAAATCTTAGACCATATCTTGACTTAATGCATGTATGTATGTGTGTGTGCGTGCGTGCGTGCGCTCGCTTAATGCATGTATGTATGTGTGTGTGTATGTGTGTGCGTGCGTGCGTGCGTGCGTGTTGATGTACGTACGTACGTGTGTGTGCGTGCGTGCGCTCGCGTATGTATGTATGTATGTATGTATGTGTGTGTGTATGCGTGTGTGTGTGTGTGTGTGTGAGAGAGAGAGAGAGAGAGAGAGAGAGAGAGAGAGAGAGAGGAGGTAATGTTTAACAGAGCTATGTTTTCCATTGAACAGACACCAATCGCTGTCTTGCTCGAGGAAACACTACTTGTACTGTGAAGATCCGGGTTGGAATAAGTCTTGAGCAACCCATGCTTGACGTAAGAGGCATCTATGCTTGTCGTAAGAGGCGACTTACGGGATCGGGTGGTCAAGCTCGCTGACTTGGTTGATGCAAGTTATCGTATCCCAATTGTGTAGCTCGATGCTCATGATGTCAATCACTGTGTTGTCTGATCCAGACTCGAGTATTTACAGACGCCGTCATATAGCTGGAATATTGCTGAGTGCGGCGTTAAATAACAAAAAAAACAAAAAAACGTTAACTATGCTTTATCAACTGAGAGGGCTAATGCGGAAATCACGACATCAGTTGCCAGGATCTCAGGGACCGACCATTTGATAACACTCGACGTCCGACCAAGATAGGCAAATACTAATCCGATGAAAAACTTGCAATGCGTGTTTATCCTCATGCCTTTTGTCTGTCTGCATGTATGTATGTCGACAGTGTTCTGTTTCCGATTGCAGTTCTACTGCTTTAAAACATCCAGCATCACGTTACTACACATATGCATATAAGATATACACAAATGAATATATTTAAGTAGATAATGTATGACCCAGATCTTAAAACAAAACTTATCTCATAGCTTGTCATTTGTATATAAATATTTGATACTATTTGCCTACACGTTTATCCAATATAATACGAACTCGGTGTCACCATGGGTCCCCAGGACTTTCTTGCCTGTCGTGTCAGACTCGGTGACCTGGCTGAGTGTGTGTGTCATCGTACCCGGACGGCCTGGTAATATTCCAGTAGTTACAAGCCGACGTGACACAGCTTCAATATTGCATACTTCAAAATAACCAACAAACCCACATGGGTATACATTGTATGAATCCTATTCTGTGGTGCTCCCAGCCATGTTAAAGGTCAAATATTGCTAGAAGCAGCGTCAATAGTTGGATCCATGTGCGGCAGTCAAATGTAAAATGACGCTATGAATATTGCCACTGATAGTTTCTCTGGAAACAATTGTATTGTGTTTTTAAACATGCGACAAAATAACTTATTGTAGCGTAAATCTATACCCATGTTCCCGAGGCAAGTGTGTCCACTAGCCTATATCAAAGCCTAGTTTGTACGAGGAAAATAAACTTTGATAAATAGGCTAGTGGACGCTCTTGCCTCGGGAAGATGATTTATACCGAACAAATAAGTTTTGTTAATAATTTGGTAATATTATTTTTGTAGTGAAGACACAATTTCACAAAGAAATATGCCCAAATATTCACGATCCCAAACATTTGTTGTTCAGTACAGTAGCAGTTCAACGTCGGAATTTAAAGGATGAACTAAAAAATAAAACAAAGTGTTTAGTGAAATATAAGTTGGCATGTGTTCTTGTGATCCGGTGAATATAGACAATGTCTTCAAAATACATAAACGTTTCGTCATCTTTTTTCACAAAAGTTAGGTGTTTTATGTCAGCAGCACGTTCACCAGGATATCCACGGGAGAAGGCACAGATTAATCCATGAAACATGTGTTACATCCATATGAAGAAAACAAATAGTATCATGAACAATTGTCATGCTCAGGCTTTGTTGGTAATCTTCATTGTCAGACGGTTAATCTCACGGCGAAAGTTGGCGTTCCAGAAGCTGTAGATTATAGGATTCGATGCACTCTGAAGAAAGTAGGACCTTTGAAAGACGTGAAAGACGACGAAACCGACTCCATGGAGATCGTTCAGAAGGGTTTTCATGACCGAAGCCGCGATTGTCAGGGAAAGGTGGGGAAGAAACGACAGCACAAACACCATCGTTATCAGAAACATCATAAACGTTGTCCTTCGAGTTCCTTTGTCTCGCTGTGAGCACCGTGTTACACGTCTTGCACGTGTGGAATTTGATCCGTTTCCATGTTCAAATAAAGCAGCGTTCGGCTCGCCAGTAGATGCCATGTCAGGATAATTTTCAGAGTTTCCAGCTACACCAAAAGGTTTGATGCTGTGATCTGTGACGTCACTTTCATGGGATATGCTGTTGTCGTTCTTAGGAACACCGTGGCCTGATCCGACATCTAATATTCTATCCCGGATGTCGCCTGTGCCATCATGGTTTATAGGTGCCAGTTCAGTCATAGGAATTCTGAATCCGTCTTGTTCCGACTTAGAAGAACTTACAATATCAGCTGAAGTGTTCCGGGCATTGATAGAAATCTCTGTTGGTGTATCAAGAACCACGATCCGTTCATCGACCCTTCTCCGTACAGACACGGTTTCCTTAAACCTTTTCTGGCGTATGATCTGCCTCCAGATCAAGCTGTACACAACTGCCAGGGTCAACGTTGCTCCAAGGAACACCAGAAACTGAACACCAAGGTACGCAATATGCAGTGTTGAACCGATGAACTGATCAGACAAGGAACAATCCACTCCCGTGATGTTGATGTTGTCAGTAGGCACCGTTCTACCGCCATAGATGAATCCAGCAGGAAGGGCAAGAATTAGTGCCAGAGAACAACAGATGCTTATTGAGATGTTGGCAACCTTTGTGGTCATCTGGACATGGAGTGGACGACATATTTTCTTGAATCTGTCCACAGCTACAGCGACAAGGACGCTTCCTGAGGCAATGGAGTTAATGGTTTCGAACAGCTTCATTAGACGACATATTTTGTATTCTCCGAAGGTGTAGGTGTGTCTCATATCAATGATCTCAAACGGGATGCTGGTGAGACAGTTGATGAGATCCAGCACTGCCAGAGAGATTATGAAACATCGTGTTGTGCTTGGCTTGAACTTGGCGATGTAGACGTAACAAACCAAAGAGTTTCCTAGGACGCCAAGCAGCATCAGAATGACGAGGAAGAGGATGACGGGGAGATATTTCATGGCGTAGAGGTCGTCATGACGGCGTAGATAATCGTCGATGCCATCGCTGATCAGATTTGAGATGTTTGAACTCATGGTGAGCTGGTAAATAGAAAATGGGTTTATGAACCTGTTTATAACAATAGCTATGTAATGATTTCTCCCTTTATGTTTTCAAATACTGATATCTTTCTACATCATATGTTACATTAAGAACAGAACATTTCTTGTGAGAAGTGTCAAGTGAGTTCCCCATAGGTGTAGCTGGGCAACGTTGATAAACGCAGTGTCTGAACGATCGCAAAGAGGGAGAGTTTTGACATTCGGCATTGGGAGAAAAGATACAAATAATCGATGTGAAAGTTGTGAGAATATGCGGGAATTACCAAATTACCCCCCCCCCCCCTCGTTTTTTTAAATGGGCTTGTCAGTCACTGCCGAGGTCGTATTGTATTCAGGAGTGATCATTGTTTTAATACGGTTAAATATTTTGAAAGCTTGTACATTTTATTTACATCCTTAAAGAGGCTGTACATAATGCTGATATCTCATATAATAAATACACGACCCGTGGTCGTTGTTAATCTACAATAAAACTGTGCAGTGTGAATAAACAATGGTTTATTCTCCAAGCAGTGTTTTATTGTACGATAAACAACGACCACGAGTCGTTTATTTCTTAAATAACATGATTATCTCATCTGGTGATGAAATACTGTATTCATATGAAATGTAAAATTGTTATCTCATTCAGTAAAATAACCCTTTATGCTGGAATTATTTTCATTGAGGTACAATGACAGCAGAAAAGAACAAAACATAATAAATAGATCCTTTTGTCTTTTCTTGTGAAATATAATGTTTATGTGGATGCGCCACTCATGAAAACATCAACTTTGTCAGGTCACTCGATGAAATGAACATATCCAAAAATATAATTACCCTTTATTTATTTCGTTTTCTTCCCGACATAAAGATGGGTTAGACACGTGATGTTTTCGATTATACATCTCCTGAACCTAAATTAGATTATCCTAAACAGACCCCCACGCTGCAGTGAAAATACGACGACGTCACTAATCTCTCTGCCAAGCTTTACATTTTACACTTAAGACTCAACTTAGTATTGTTTGCAAACTGAAAAAGTAACAAGAACTTTTGTGATAATATATACAACTCTCTCTCGTGTCATTTGATATTAAATATACCAACATTCATCAATAAAAGTTAAAAGCCTCGGAGTTAAAAACTTCTAGAAACTAGGTGTTGATATATTTTATATCAAAAGACACTCGGGTGAGTTGTATATATTATAAAAAAAGTACGTGTTGCAAATATGAATGTTTTATTGATTTGAGCAAGATATGATAGCATTACTGCACGAAAATGTACTGGCGAACTGGATCCTCTTTAACCACAAATGCCAACTTTTTAGAATGACACGATAAAATAATGTTTAATTACTTCCTGAATAACACAATCAAAACGATCTAAGTGAGATTTAACAAAGAAAAGATAGTTACACAATTTACAATTCCAACTGATGACAATAATTCGAAATGTGCACATATGTTGTGTTTGAGCAGAATTAAGAATAACAATACATTGTATTTTAACAAAACCATGCCAATATTTAATAATCAAACTTACTTGTGATGAAGTTGGCGTCGTGGGTCACTGTACATATGGTGTGTTCTGGTGGCTAGTGGGAGATAGTACACTGTATATCACATCAAAGTGAACTCTACCGGAAGTATGTGGTGGGAAACAAGACTCCGACACAAGGAAATGGGAATACGTATTTCGGATTGCATGAACATATACATACTGTTCTCCAAATGTATGTTTACGGGGTTCATTGACAATTTTGATCAGTAAGTCGATAAAACAAATTAAATAAAATGCTTTCAACAGGGTTATTTTGTGGGGGCTTTGAGATTTAAAAGGGGTGTGGTTTCACTGGTTCTGGTCCTATAAATAACATCTATGTAGTGTTTCTGATTCTATGTATTAAACGATGAACTCAATACAGAGTTTCATATCAGCAAATTCAGTCTATGTCAAACACTTTGAGATTACAATTATGGGCGGCACTTGTAATGCTGATTATATTATTCCAGAGGGATCGTCGACCAAGTAGAAAACATTTAGGCCTGATTTGATTTCAGTGAGGATGGAGATGGGGATGAAGAGACAAGGAAGTTCACTTGCACATGCACCCTCACCCTCAAACAGGAAGCAGATTATACTATTACTCTCATTTTGATAGGGATCATGTGATGAGTGAATGTTGTTTTACGCAGATGTAGGCAATGTCATAGAAGATTTTACTTGCAGATTTTGGCAACGGTGTTCGGGTGATCTAGTAGTTCTGTGTGCCTTCGCTACTCAGAGTTGTGTCCCTTAGCCTTACGACGATACACTGATCGTAGGTTCAAATCTCTTATTCGTCCCGATTGTGATCCTTGGTTTGTCAAACACTAATTTTCACCAAATTGTTTACTGCATCCTTCGCGTTGGGCTTTCCCCAAAAATAAAGCTGACACCCTTTGATATAATTGAAATTCAAAGCCGCATTAAACTAAACTCTTTCAGGACCTCGTCAAACGGCGATTCCTTGGGATATCTGGCGGATTAAGAACCTGGTTAAGACCCTGTGTCGATTCCCACTACCGGTGCAATCCACTCTGTTTGCCTTTCGCTGTAATACTGCTGGAATATTGCTTAACGCTGCGTAAAATCCCACATCAACGGCGTGAGTATCAGCACGTTTACTACTGAAAATAAAACCCGATGACATGGGGTGTATGTTTTATTCTATACTCCTCTGCAGTAACATCTGTATCACGGTAATACAATATTTTTACCCAGCAAAAGAATTAGCTGTAAAACACTGACATTCATCATATTCGTTTTCATTTTGCACTATTATATATCATTAATAGAAAATGTATGTTCACATAAAATGGTGAATTTGGAGAGTTGAACATGACAATCTGAACAAAGAGCATATATATTGCTAGGTCCAGCAAATGTACCATCAAATTCCTGTCTCAAAGACAGAACATAAGCCTTAATACAACTTTCTTCATCTAACATGAAGTATTTGTGACAACTGGCATAAACACCATGTGAAGTCTCAATGGATTTGCTTGAATATATGCAATCTCAGAAAAGAACCCAGTTCAGTTTGTACACTACTATTTCAGACAAACCGAAGGGATACGTGGGATATTGATCATTAAACGTGGTCACCATGGATTAATTACATCTCTATTTTCAAAGGTTGAGACAATTTGTCAAAAAATAAAGCAAATGTCATCGGAAGTTTACAGAGAAAATAATATGTGAAATGCTTCCTCACTGATAACATACATGTGAAATTTAGGGATAGGACTTTAGGCAAGAGTAAGGCATCACCATAGGCACCAGTTCCCCCTTGTTGATCTGTTTCGATATGGTCATGAATCGGAATACCTGCTCGGATTGGCAAAATCAAAACAAGGACAATTGGTCAAGAAGTTGAACTTAAGTTTAACATATATAGATGATTTCGCGTCGTTCAATAATCATGGTTAAACAGCCAATTCCTCTACTGATTTACCCACCTAAACTAAAATTACAAGAAACGTGTAAAACTGCCCCAAATAGTGTCATATGGCCTTTTCTCAAAAGTTGTTTGACCAGAGTACCAACGGTCAAGGTCTTAGTAAAGCTTTTAAAGACTATTATCGCAGACAGGCAGAGGGCATTTTCAAAATTGACGCATCAGTGACAAAAATGATGTTCGATGCAATTCCCTATTTTGACTGTTTCATGTTTTCATGTTAATTGACTTGCCATTGCATGTGTTTGTGACGGGTGCCACTTGTGAGGCAGGATACACTCACATTTTCGCGAACACCTGGTATCATCACTATTTAATAGTTATTCATAAGCACATGCTTATGACACAGTTGGAATCGTATAAAGGACTCTGCTTTTAGCAGAAATATCTCTTATAATTATTAAAAAAATTGTCGCTTTATTGTCTAAAATATTTGGAAGACATATCATTCACTCATGGTTTGCCCAAGATACATATATGTAGAAGGCGGTATTTATCCGATGGACAGAGAGTTTGCACGTGTAATAATTGTTATTGAGCTATAACCATGTAAACTCCATTCGTTTAAACAAAGAACTTATCAAGGTATTCATAGGTTACAAAACGAAGAAATGACGTTTTAGAAACACAAGTGACAACATTTATTTTAAAGTTTAACCTCGAGAATGATCATGTTTTGTGTTCGATCAACATAAATATAAATATAAAAGCAATGCTTTGGAGAATTTATGACGTCACTGTCGAACTACATTGACGTGACCTTCGATCTCAACTCGAAGTCCCAGTTTCTATCATTGTTCCCCGTGTACGCTTTTAAAATCTTCTCTGTACTCGTCAAGTAATGCCAATTCAAGTATGGAACAGAAGTGGGTGACGACAAATGCTGCGACAATGACGTTATGTTACGACGTCTTTCCATCAATGGGACGTCACATTTACGGTCTAGGGCCAGAGTGGCATCATAACTTTGCATACTTACATATTTGTATGCGCTTTGAAATAAATACTTAGTTTCATTTCCTTTTAACTTTCAGATATTGAGTAACACCGAGACTGAAGCGGTGCTGAGAAACATAAACAGGTTACATATTAACAATCACAATTACAACATTTTGATCTGTATGGCTCGAACTTCAGTCAGCGTGGACAGCCATTGCCTTGGCGATGAGCCTGTCTGTCATTGCGGCGTTTTCCTTCAGAGCTTTCCTTTCCATCAACAACGACCTGGGTGAGAAAACCAGAACCATAATTAATCCACTGAAACATTGAAGTAGGACGGGTCTCTTGCCCTAGCTCAGACTGTTTGTCTGTCATACATACCCTAAAACGAATATATCCATTAAAGCCTAAGCAAGTCTATAATATTTGGCAAGTCTAGATTACTGTAGTAATAGTCTGAAAATGAAGAGAGTCTCTGGGCTCCTTTTTATTTCACGGCTATAATTTAGGAATTGTTTTTATCTGTAAAATATGTTCATTTCAGAGCTAGATGTTAGTCTATGTCTCTGCATAAAATAAATTTATTTTATGGTCTCTGCCTAGCCCCAGACACTCGTGTCATTGCGATACAATCTGAAGCGTGTAACGGAAAGATTCGAGTGGTGACACGAATGTACGGATGTGCCCATGCTATTTTTCATGTGAAGACGCCGCCCTGTGTTGTAGTGATTCGACCCCCTAGATGGCCGTGTCGTACCAAGACACGTTAAACGATGTCACTTGTTGGCCAGCTCTGAGTCAGTATACTGAGTCTGAGTGGAATATGCTTGTTTAACTGCGACATGGTATTTCACAAGGCCAGCACTTAAACTCCGGCATAAGTCCGGAGACTAGTACAAACAGTCAGATACACGCGTTGAAGTACGTCGCTATATGAGTGAAATAATCTCAACGAGACGGTAAACCCTCTTTCACCTCACAACCAGTGGAAAATGCATCCCAGAATAAGAGAGATGAGACGAACTATAATCCAATCTTCTATGTGTATGTAACTACGTACACATTGCGAAAATATATTTTTCTAATTTCATAACAGGCGTGTATTTCATTGTGTACAGCTTTGACCAATGTTCATAATAACTGATATATAAGGCTCTGAGGAAGCTGGTATTAGCGCAACTGGACTGCTGCTGCTGCTGCTGCTGCTGATGATGATGATGACGATGATGATGACAACTGCAATGACCCTGAGCTGTACCTGGATGTTGATGACTGTTACTGAGTAATGATAGAGCTAGTTAGTGTTATAACCATTAAAGGGGGTCACGGGTGGCCCAGTCGTCTAAGGCGCCGCGATTCGCTGTGCAGAGTTGCATCCCTTGCGTCACCAGAAACTTATGATTGTGGGTTCGAATCCCGGTTCGCCCCAATTATGTTTCTAGGTTTTTCAGCACCATACACGTGCTCGTGGGTTTCACCGAAGTAGTAAACGTCTTAGACCTGCATCACTTCGGGCTATCCCCCCATGACTTGGTTGAATGCTTGTCATCGTAGCCTGACGGGACCAGGATCAAAATACATATCATGGTTTATCACGCCCCCGAAAAAAAACCAACCCACCCGCCTCTACCTCTCTCTAAATGTTCACCGCTCCGCTTGAGGTAATAAATATTTCATATGGTTAAATTGATTTGTTAAGAAGACTCATATTTTTACACATGTACATACATGACATTTTCTGTTAAAATATGTATGAACTTAACACACGTCGTCGGAAATATCAATCGCCAATGACATTCGGATACCTTGTACAGGGGCCAAGGCAACAGACTCCCCTTTGCCTTGGTGGCGCCCCACCCTTGGGTATTACCTGGCGAACTTGTGGTGATCTGCAGATGGGGATTTGATGGCAGCCTGAATCAAAAACAGGTTGAATATGTCCCGCTGAAAGTGAAACGAAGCAGTTTTAATGTGACTTAATTCTTGTGTTTTCCTGTTTCGACTGAGAGTTATCGTTACCGTATATTGGTGTAAACTACATGTACTAATGTTCCACATACTTTCTCTCGCTGATGAGTGTAACTTGATTGGGCGACTAGATTCAGCGTTGTGGCCTTCAAATACGGCTCAAAACGAAGTACGGTAACGAATGGGTTTAGGGTAATGGTAATATAATACCCTTGGTTATCGGATATATCGAAGATACAACAACCCTGAAGTTTCCTACCTGAGCGTGACTGCCGCCAATATTTATTATCTTATATCTGATGGGTTTGAGAAGGTCGACAGCTTTGGCGTAGTCGCCGTCGTTGTAAGCTACGAATGCCTCACACAACGTCTCCCCGACCTCCTCCGTTACAGCCTGGTTGTGGCCGCGGTTGTTCCTGTGGAAACAATTCCTTGGCTTTACATGGTACATGTATTGCATTAACTTCTTTCAGAGTCATTTAATGTATTACATTAATAAGTAAAATTCAGTTTGAAATAATTCCAAAAGTGTATTTCGATTCATTTTGTGATGTCAGTATGGATTCATTTTGTGAATATTTATGAGTATTTGGACGGTCGATATCCAGCGTTCTGTGCATTGGTATTAGTTCTATTTTATACACAATACATTGTCAGCACATTTCACATCGCAAATAAATTTCACATATTGACAATTTCATTGATATAGGATCGTTTACTCTGATACGCTATCTCCCTGCGTGACGATCTAAGGACATCTCCATAGAAGGTCGCGTAAGGTAAACTTTCTAATCAGCCAATCTAAGTTCTCAGTAACTCCAACATATTTCCGTATCTCGAAAACGAACTGAAACGACCTCTACCGAATGTAGGATAATTAAGTTTAATATGCGAAATATTTGTTTTCTTTTGAACAAATCGAAATGTCCGAATCGTGGTGGTAAAGAAATGAAGGTGAATCGTTTTCGAAAACTGACATTGAACCCAGGTATCCTTCAGATCGAGTGGACGGTTAAAGTTTGCTGTGAGTTCTTATGACGCGACCTCCCATGTCAGTGTCCTCAGATCTTGATGCAGAGATGTATAGTATCGGAATACACGATGTGACTTTAATGAAAGTGATCTATTGATAGTCTCTCTATACGAAATGAATAAAAGTAATTTTGAAGGTATTAATAAAAGCAAGACGTCATGGATATGAATTGTACTCTGAATCACAATTCTTATAAAATATGTGTTTCATCGTCCACGGTTAAAAAATATATGCACTGATATATAATGAATAAAACTGTCGTTTATGAAGCAAACATTTGATATTTATTTAATATGCTTCGTTCATGTGCAAGCCTGAAAATATTTAATATATCAAGTATTTGCTTCAATGATCCTGTTGGGTCGATATAATGTATTTTTATATAGAATTAGTAATAACATCTTTTATGTATTGCTATTGCAATTCCCTCTTTAAATATCAATTCCAATATCAAAACGATCTTCAAACTTTGCGATATACACGCACACTACCATACACTCAATTTGAAGGTAAAGTTGACCTGGCAATTACATTAAATAAATTAAATAATTAACCATTATATTGATCGCGCGACCTTATCATGTAACTCTAGATAATGCATATTCGAGATACTTGTCTTACTTTACGAATTGTTTGAGAGAGTCCATGAGCTGTTTGACGGCGTCTGACTTTTTGGCCCCGAGACACGCCAACAGTACGTGAACGTCATTGAATGCTAAAATGTGATCGTCGATGTGAGGTCGGCAGACGTCGAATACATTGTTCCACCTTTCGCCAACGTCCACGCCTACACAAAAAAACACATTCAGTTAGTATGACCGCTTGGAAATAATGTAAGTACGTCTCGTTTAAAGAATATTGCACTATGTCTGGTTGTTGTTTGGGTGGATAGTATATATATTAACTGTTTTATTGGCATTGTAGAAAGTGGAGAGTAAATAAGTGAACGTACAATTTTATTGATAACAACTTCTGGTTTATTGCATGTAGCGACGTTTCAGTGTTGATACTTATACCGTTAGCTAGCTTGATAACGGTGTAATGACGTGAATTCAAATGTACCTTCCATCTCAAGTCTGAAGAGCAGAGAGCAAGCGTCCACCATGTCCAGAAGTGCCCCAGACTGACACGCCCTCACGGTGACCTGTTGAACACAGACTAATTATGGCAATAGGGTGTCAACATGACGAGGGGCGACATCCCCAGAACTGGTTAGAAAGTTTGGAGGTAAAAAGTTAAAAACAACTCAATTCCCATCTCATTTTATAACTCATTAAGCACAAGCATATACACACAGTTAAACGGGATCATACGTATTTATCGTTTTGGGGTAGTTGTAAGGGGTTTAACCGTTGTTTATTGTCCGCGTAGATTTCCCATATGGGCGCAACATGAGGGGACTGCTGCTTAAACAGCGAGTGCAAAAAGTGGAATGAGAAGATACATAGCAAGTGAGTGAGTATGGTTTTACGCCGCGTATAGCAATATTCCAGCAATATCACGGCGGAGGACACCAGAATTGGGCTTAACAAATTGTACCCATGTCGGGAATCCAACCCAGGTCTTCGGCGTGACGAGCGAACGCTTTAACCACTAGGCTAGCCGCCCGCCACATACATATCAAGCCAAACGTGACATTTTTAATATGACCAGAATATTGCCGTACGGCTCGCAAATCAGTTAGACATGATATGTGATATCAGTTGCCAGGTGTTGTCATTTTCAATATGTAACACCTGTGGGCTACATGCAGTGATTCTGTCTCTGTATATAAGCAATAAAGTATTGAATGATAAACCAATTAAATCATATCACCAGCCTAGAAACGAAACACACAATATCTAAATCAATATACCTCATCCACAAATGTATTTTAAAAAATACACAGAATAAACCTTTTTGTGTATTACTGAAAATCGGTGATGACACCAGCTGTTCACGAATTTGACAATACAACTGCATGGCGTGTATTGGTTATTAAAGATAGCTGACGACATAAATATAATATTTTAGTAAACATTTCTTTTGCCAATAACTGAAAGTTTACAACAATATTCAATGGATTTATTCACTGCCGATGTATTTCATATACAGCCTTCAAACACATCATGCATACTGCACCAAAATATATCTTTCCTCCCATATAAAGCTGACACGCCGCCATGTAACTGGAATATTGTTTCTAAAGGCGTTAAACCCAACTCACTCACTCACAAAATGTCTATGTTCCGGTGTAGGCCTATAACACTATAATATTAATGGGGTTATATTCTATGAATAGACCGAGGACTATTATTTGCGCACATCTGCACACATGCATCGATGTGTTTCATTTTCTTTACCCCTTCACCAAGGGTTTATATATTATTGTACATGTTTGCCCTGTCCAACTGAAGCATTTGCAGAAGCTAGTTTCACTTACACGTTTCACATGTACCGGTAGGTCAACATCCTGAAACCTTCCTCAAGCACCACAACACCGCTAATACTAGTTTATTAATCACTAGCATATTATCACGGTTTATATCAAGGGTTACCGTATCCATTAGATCTTAAATGTTGGTTTTAAGCAACTCCCTGGTACCCCGTATACAACTACGTCCAACGCAACGTCATAATATCATATGGGGCGGTGGGATAGCCAAGTGGTGTGAAGTACATTTCTTTAGTGTTACCCAACCGTCATATTGCTGGAATATTGCCAAAAGCGGCGTAAAACCAAATTCACTCACTCACTCATAATGAGATGTGGTTCAAATGGTACCTAAAACGCTTCAGTGAGTGTAGTACAACCTTCTAAATTACCTCGCTGTCGAAAATATTCAGTGCACCCTGATGGTCACCCTGGGGAAGAGGAACATTGGTGTTAGTGCGATTAATGAAATAATTCACAGGGTACTGTATATGTAGTCAAGAGAGCTATTGAATTAGTTACAAACAAAACTACTTTCAAGTTGGAATTTGTGATAACCACAATTTCAACACACAAAAAAATATAATATCTAACCTTTCCAAATTTATAGGCAAAAAAGGTCATCGGTATAAGAAGAAAAGCTTGCTGAATAAATACGTTTCATTTAAAAGCTTAAAAGATTCTCCAATATGTTTCAACAACGGTATTATCGTGTATGTAATGATAACCTTCTCTATGTAGTATAGTGCCCAGTGCCAGAAATTGTGACAAGCCAGCATCCCGAAACTCTGGAATCAAAGATATCAATATTATTTCAAGGGTCCACAATGACAGAAAAAAACAAGGTTATATTAAAAAACTGAACAATATTTGGCGAAATTAAGAACATGTATGATCGTGATAGTTTCTAGCCCCTAAAACTCACTGCCCAGTTCTTGACGAGTCTGACCCTCTAAACTCACCGTCCAGCTCTTGACGAGTCTGACCCTCTATACTCACTGCTAAGTTCTTGACGGGCCTGACCCCCTATACTCACTGCTCAGTTCTTGAAGAGTCTGACTCTCTATACTCACTGCTCAGTTCTTGACGAGTCTGACCCTCTATACTCACTGCTCAGTTCTTGACGAGTCTGACCCTCTATACTCACTGCTCATTATGACGAGTCTGACCCTCTATACTCACTGCTCATTATGACGAGTCTGACCCGCTATACTCACTGCTCAGTTCTTGACGAGTCTGACCCTCTATACTCACTGCTCAGTTCTTGACGAGTCTGACCCTCTATACTCACTGCTCAGTTCTTGACGAGTCTGACCCTCTTTATTCACTGCTAAGTTCTTGACGAGTCTGACTCTCTATACTCACTGCTCATTATGACGAATCTGACTCTCTATACTCACTGCTCATTATGAAGAGTCTGACCCGCTATACTCGTGCCTCACCCTCTATACTCACCGCCCAGTTCTTGACCGTGTCCGTGAGGAAGGAGATGCCCTCATCCTGGCGCCCTGTCATCTCCATCACGTGACACATTGTGTGAGTGGACCAGGCATCCCTGGGATTTAGGTCCAGCCCCTGGGGAGACACCAGTAATCTACACACAACTCTTGAGACAAAGCGATACATAAATTCAAGTAACGTGCTGCGCATATTCACAATAATATATATCTTATTGTCTCAGCTTATTCAAACATGTTTTCATCACGTGCACATTAAGCAACAAATGTCATAACCTGGCTTGATATAAGTGGAGAGATGAGTAAACTTGAACATACCCATATATAAGGAGGCTATTGTCACGGTAGCTTCAGGTAACGTGTTGACTAACATAGTCTATGAAATCTTTTATTACACATAATATTTCTTTCCTCTTAAATTAAAACGATTAATGTTCCTAATGTTGATTCTAGGACTGACTTGCTTTTATATAAATCAAGATTGGTTTTGTTTTCATAAAGTACATATTTTCCACAGTCGCAGGACTAGTAACGTGTTGGTGGCTGGATATAGACAGGCAGTTGCGTGCATGTTAACATGCCCATTACGAAGCTATCATCAATGTGAACTCCTAGTCAACAAATGCTAATGCCTCTATCTCGTTAAATGTTTCTTTCAAATGACGTGGAATCCTGACCAAAATTACCAGTAACTGACCTTCTTGGCCGCTTTCTCCGCCTGATCATACAAGTTGCACTCCTCCAAACCAAAAGAGTACATCCCGATCAGGTATCTGCCAAAAGAAACGAAAATATTCCTTACATTAATAGTAATTCAATATATTCTTACACAAAAGACGCCAGGCACGTGCATGCAGCGTGATAATTTCATGTGTAGCGATATTCTGTAGTATTAAGTCTGTAGCATGTGGCTGTTAGGGGCATATTAAATTATTTTAATATACACTAGTTATTGGGGCTCCTGAGAAGGAAATTGTTGAAACAAATTTCTTAACTTGATGTTTTTTAGTTTCAATAAAAAGATATTAGATTCTTCGTGTATATTACATGAACATATTCCAGCCCAATATTGTAGTGTTATATACCCTATTGTATACTTGCATACGTATTTCACGGAAAAAACTGGTCTATGACATTTAAACTATTTCAACATGTTCAATATTTTTCATTCAAAAAGCAATTAAACTGAATTTTTAATTGTATTGTCACGATGTATATCATCTTCGAAGGGCCCTGTGGTTTCTGAGACTTATTCTCAAATAGGATACAGTAAGTTTACTATCAGCTGTACCTGTATTACCAATCTGTCAGCAAAAACACGCCTTTCATTAGTACAAATATACTTTGTATGGCTAAATATAATAAACGATCTATCATATCTAGTGCACGTTAAAGCGGAACAATGCCCAAGTGTCTGGTATCTCTTTCCAGTCTGGATCTTGTTATCAGAGCCTTGTGTGAAACTGAGAGTGTTCTATGTACTTAATTAATAACTATTATATTGAAAAGCACCATACAATTTAAGGTAGCAGCAAGAAAAACTCCTATACTAACTAAAGAGTATTACAGTCGTATTGCTTAGATGGCCTGAATAGTTTCATCTACCCATAAAGAGGCATTTCCGGTTTCCATTTCGGCAATACTCGGGCTATGCTGTCTCGATTCTGATTGGGGTAGCCGAGATAGAAATACGTGTCGTGTGCAAACTTGAGTGCCAGGATGTCAAGAGGGTTCTGGACTAAAATTTCCTCCCAAACGTCAGACGCGTCAGAGGTCCACCTTGGAAACGACAACAATGAAATGTATTCGCAAAGAACGTGTAAAGGTGCATAGAAATAAACAAAGCAATCACATGATGATTGTTATGATAATTTTGAATCTCTTACGGAAATGTGAATCATTGGCTAGTTGAGGTTACCCGTACTTTGAAAGCACTTTCCATGATAATCTGATGATAATATTGTCTCCCTGAAATTGTTTTCAGTCTGGACCCTCAGCCTCAAAGCTATCAAGAACGCGTCCCCTTAGCCTTGTCAGGAGTTGCTGGTCGTGGATTCGAAATCTACATTTGCTGCTATCAGCACCCCACTTGTGCTCTATAATTAGTTTCCCAAAATGGTAAACACCGCTTTGGGCTTTGTTCTACATACACTTACAGGCTGTTATATTACTGAATTACTATTAATTCCAACTCACTTACTCATGAAAGGAAGTGAGTCTCTAAATAACGCACTGAAAAAAGTGAGGCATCTTTCCAGCTATCACAGATATGTATTATAGGGATTGTTCGCAGAATTAAATCCATTGCAATTTCGCCACTTGACTTATTATCCTGTATTGAACAAACCATAATGTATGTATCTTACCCTTCTGACCACAACTTTAGTGCACGTGCATGCTGTTTCTCGCGCTCAATACTGGATGTCTCAGCAAGTCGAAGCATTTCGCTTATCTCCCCTGGGAAAGATTTGTCAACATGGATAGTCCTTCCGGTTCCTAAGAGGTCAAGGCCGTTTTTCAGAACGTGTCCCATAACTGAAACAAGAAATTATGGTTAAGGCGTTATTTCAGGTATCACAACATGTAGCATAGAAATGAGTAAAGAGGTGTGCATGTATTTAACGTACATTTTAATAAAAGTGACAAAACCTAAAATCATAAGACATTTGTTAAATAGTCCATTGTAGGTTTGGTTTGGTTTGGTTGTTAGTTGTTTTTTGCCGCACTCAGCAATATTCCTGTTATATGACGGCAGTCTGTATATAGTCGAGTGAGGAATGGACAATCCAGTGATTGATGTCATGAGCATCGATACACGCAATTTGGACATGCAACAACCAAGTTAGTGAGCCTGACCATCCGACCCTGTTAGTCGCCTCTTACGATAAGCATAGTCGCCTCTTACGACAAGCATGGGTTGCTGAAGACTTATTCTAACCGGGATTTTCACGGGTCCCATTGCGAGGACACGACATGCGAGGATACGAAAAACAAAATTTTCGCGGACTCAAAGATTTAGATATGCGTTCTTTACAAAATTAAAATATTATAATCTGGTGGAATACAAATTACCTTTGTTCAAAATACCTTTCATAATACCAATACATACTAACTTGTTTGTGGTTCGAAGGCGACAAGTGAAGGCGGCAGTGATTCGAACAATAGTTTGATAATTTGATATGGTCTTGCCAGTTGTTTGTTGTGTTAATAGATATCGAAACTTGCCAAAGTTTGGGTCAGCCTCCATCATTTTCTGCATCGAGGTTTCAATGCCACCGGTTCCCGTGTCGTCAAACCGGCCCACATACTGAAGTCATACACAAGCATGGATACCCGAGATGACGCATACATTTGAATTGACTCGTCTACAAGCTGTACGATCCACCAAGGTCCAGACTCAGTGTATGTTCTTTATATAATAATGAAGTTTTCTCTTATTAGTGAATAACTGAACTAAAACAAGGTATTATACGAAGAAACAAATTTCTAACTGGTTATGGTATGTACATCAATTAATATAAACATGGTGGTCACGTTGTTTTAGGGGCTGATTATTAAACAGATAGTCAGGGTTTTATCTCAAGACATAAACAATAAGCAAATCCTTTTCCTCCGTTTCGGTGTCTTATATAAGAATATCAGGAATTACCGTCGGTACGCACGATCAAACAGCACTCAAACCATGTTAGACCAGACGGTGCCGTTGCCAATGATATCGCCTATAAGGCAACAACTGTCCGGATAAACGAATCATGCTGTGTACCCATTACTTAAAGACGTTCTCAACATTATTCGCCCAGAATTTCTTTTCGGACGATGTGGTTTCACTGTATGGGTTTCGCTGACCAAAACATATATTTATAGGTCTATTAAGCAAAGACACGAAATCCACTTACCTGAGTGAGTGAAGCATCGAACATCTTGCTGGCTTCATTGTTGGTGGTGGAGAGTGGGACCCCGAGACTCTTCCACTCCTGGATAAAATAAAAATGTATTTCCAAGAACTTAGAGTACTCATAGTGAAGACAATACACACAGAGATGAACGTGTCAATACAATTGATGGAGTATCCAATGTTGTCTTTTTCATATGTCAAATGTCTTTTCAAACATCCTCCGTCGACAAATGTATATGCATTATTCTTTACGTTAATAAATTGTGTTTACGGTTGAAACATCGTTACTCTCCACATAACTGTATGACAAGAGGGATGATTTCAGTTTAGTTGCCAAAGGTAATATTTTCCCCATATGTCGACGAATATTCCAGCGGCTCCAACCTTTGTCGTCTACATTCCAAAACTTTTGAGGTACAATCGAGCATACTCTTTCCACGAAGATTTCTATGCGATATGGGACTCTTGCTCAGAAGTTGTTTGATCAGGGTTACAACATTCGGTTCCTCGGTAAAGCTTTCAATGTTTTAAGGTAGAAATATGGAGAACATTTCCAAATTTGACGCACCAGTGAGAAGATTATGTCCGACTGAATTCCCTAGTTTGACTTGTACCGTGTTTTTGCAGGTGAACAATTGACTTGCCTTTGCATGTGTTTTTGACAGGGGCCTCCGGTTGGTGGGAATCGTGAAAAGAACTCTGCATTTAGTAGAGATTTCTTACGATTATGGAAATGTTTTGTCGCTTTTATACAATTAGTTCTAAGGTAAGCCGATGGTTGATGGTGTGAACCCCGATCTAACATCTGCAACCTTTTCTCACCGTCAGGCAACTGGAGGTGGTCCCAAGTAATTCATCGCCTATACAGTCGTCATAACTAGTATCCATTGTAGTCATTTGAGACTTATCTAGATGTCATAAGAAACATTCCAGTGTAGTAACAAAGCACTCCAGTTGATCGACAAGAACACTACCAAGGTAATGGGTCGGTGGAGAGAAGGGATGGAAACGTTTAGACTTGCTGACAATGACGACGGCTTCGAAAGTAGTCAACCCAGAAGGATTCCGGGACAGATTGGGTCATGGAACGGACACCAGACAAATAGCACTGAACCTTTGTCTTATGTTCGGACTTGGTATGGTTGATTACATACATTCTGCACTCGCTAATGACCAAAACTCTAAATACCGTTAAGGGTGGTTACTCTGATTCAATTGACCGTACGCCAGTAATCGTGTAATCCTTATATAATTATGTATTTAACATCGTGTAATCATAAACTGTGTATATCGTTTGGTCGCAGTGACGTTGATAACGCAGTTATTAACCAACATCTTTTGGGTTTCGGGGTCCTCGGAATAAGCTATTGTTTAAGAAAAAGGAGCAGAAAGAATAGAGTCCCAACGAAATAGACTCTTTGTTTCATTTTATTAAAATAGAATTGGAAAAGGTATGTTTCTAAAAACTAACTAATTTTTTGGTATGTTTTTTATCTCGGCAAATGTGTAACGATTACATTGAAATACATCTTCCAGTTTCCACCCTTGCCGAACTAGGCTGGAATTCCGGAGTTACATTTTGGCAGGATTAAGGAGTCTATGCATGGTCAAATGAAAATCGCGTAACGATCTAGACATCCGGTTCGCAAACATGGATTTCAACGTTCAGATTTCGGTAGACTGCAGGATTTGCAAAGCATGTGTACCACCAACTGGGCGTCGACAGATATTTTGCAAATCTTTTCATGTATTTAATTTAGATGCTCAAGTGATTCGATGCAGTTCGCGGTGTAAGACCTGTTTTATAACAATAAAGATCTTGATTATCGATCAGATCGTTTTGACTAGGCGCCGCCATTTTGTTTGAAGCAAATGCAAGTGATAATAAAGGTGGGATCTGACTGTCAATAGGAGGGACATAACTCGTAATAGCCACTGTTGGCGCTACGATCGAGCCCAAAAATTCCATCCTAGTTCGGCAAGGGTGGAAACTGGACTTTTATAGTCAGTTAACTCCCTTGCCTCGGGAGGATGGTTGAGATAAGCCGACCTACCCGCCCTATAAAAGATAATCATTGTGTACTATGGCCTACTATTTATAATAATCAAAGTACAAAACTCCTCCCTATCCAATAGAGTTAAAGTACAAGGACGTTAATGTGTAACGCGACCTAGTCACGTTGTCACGTTTACGCTCAGTATGACGCGTCAGGTTATCTCGAGGTCCCCTCCCCCCAAACGTAGTGATTGTGCTGAATTGCATCTTCGCATAGTTATTCATAGTGGCTTTGGTGTACAAGAAATATCTATGTACATACTTGCTGAACTCCTGTGTCAGATGTGTGTTCCAAACGCTTGGGTGTGTATTTCAGTATTGTACAGGTGAACGCTTTCTATTATTTTTGTGAGTTACTTGATTGATAAGCTGGACAGCTGTTGAGCCGAAGTTTGTTTCTAGCTATATGACGGCGGTCTGTAAATCATCGAGTCAGACAATCCAGTAATTGGTCAGCGAACCTGACCACCCGATCTCGTTAGTCGCCTAATACGTCAAGCACAGTCGCCTTTTACGGCTAGCATAGCTTGCTGAAGACCTATTTTAACCAGGACCTTCACGGGTGGTTGATCTGTAGGACTTGATGCACACCAATGAAATATGTGGCTAAGCATACAAAAAATATATTTTTCAATATTTGACCAAAAAGCCACAGAAATCAAATTACGTTGTTTATGTAGGCATGTTTATTTAGGCATGAGATAATCAAACACAAAAATGTAATTTTGCAACACAGTCATTCTATGTCATGCGAGTACATATGTACTTGTCCTTGGAGTTAAAGTTGATTATGCGTTTATATGTTTGTGGGTTTTTTCGTGTTTTATGCCGCAGTTAGATGCGCAATGTATATCGCGTCAGCCTGCAAAATATCCAGTATGGATCAGACAAACCAGTGATTGACATAATGACAATATCCCACGTCGTCGGGGTAAAATCACACGCAATCAACCAAGTCACTGATCTTGATCACCCAATCCTGTTTAGTCGCCTCTTAAGACAAGCAATAGAATGTATAAGCAGTGTTAACGCAAAATGTTACACCTTTGTGTTTGGGCTACTACTGACTTCATGGCCAGTGATCCACACAGTCGACGCACCATGGAACACAATTAGCCAGGTCACAAGTTAAACTCTAACGACATTGGATACTAGGTACATGGACTTGGGTATTAATTTGCAGAAACACATTATTCTGATAATAATGTCTGAAGTTTTGGGGTATATTAGTTTTTGATGGTAGTCAGTTATGCCAAATATTACATAATGCACACCGTCAGTTTGAAGTGTTACATAATTAAAAAAGCTAATACGTTTACTAATGTGTTCTGTTTTAAATGGAATGTACAGCTGAATAGTCTTGACCTTGGTTCTGTCAGCGGGAACATCACCTGTACTCCTTCACCGCCGTGAATAGCAGAGATAAAGAATTTGCAAAATGTTTGAAAAACACCCTGAGTATTTCGACTAAAGTGTTGTCCATGTACAGTGCAGGTATAACATTACTCATCCGATGTTCGGCGTATAACATTTGTATATACCTTAGATTTCTTCTAATATAATATGTTATTTACTGACTTTTGATCATAATTTCTCTTCGGCCATTTTAAGCCATGCATTTCTACATTTCATAATTACAAATATATATGATCTGTAACAGCCAATACGTGACGCCTTAATAAAGCATTAATCCATTCGGTATAAAACATTTAATCAAGAAGATTACCCTGAAGACACAAGACTTCAAGTCGTTTGATTTCGAGTAAAAGCCTACGAAAACACTTTCGTGTACCGACCGGTGGTAACAGATTATCTCCTAGTAGAATCTGTGATATATTAATAAATCTTTCTGTCTACATAGCCAGCAGCCCCGTGAAGATTCCGGGGTAGAATAGGTCTTCAGCAACCCATGCATGCCGTAAAAAGCGACTATGCTTGTCGTAAAAGGCGACTAACGGGATCGGGTGGTCAGGCTCGCTGACTTGGTTGATGATTGTCATCGATCCCAATTGCGTGGATCGATGCTCATGATATCAATCACTGGATTGTCTGGCCCAGACTCGATTATTTTACAGACCGCCGTCATATAGCTGGAATATTGCTGAGTGCGGCGTTAAACAACAAACAAACAAATAAACAAACATAGACAGCAAATATCGAAAACAATTCACTAATAATCACTTGTTATATCCAGTGAAGAAAACGAGGACCGTATCGTTGTTAAAAATTAACGATCACATGAGCTAGTGTTTCGTCGAGTTGCAACACGGCAGCAGACGACACGGAAACGTACAGCGTTTAACATTCATGATACCTTGCTGAATATTACACACTATTGTAAGTAGGTATGGCCTACATTTCAACTTACCTGGCAATCTCGCCATTGACAGTGCATGGCGTAAACACCTGGAACAGGTATGGAGAAGACGAGCAGGTATATTTTATGTTTCACATATGAGGCTAAACTCACGGTCACTCCAGCTGTGGGACAGTGGCACTTTTTGCAAGTCTGCCCAGCCAGGCTGACACAAAGGGTCACTCTCTCTGAGAACCAGTGATTAGTGAGTCAACTTCACGTCACAGGGCCGGCACACATGGCCAGTCCGACTGTGATATAAGGGTCAGTTAGGCAATATAACAACCTACTTGAATAAATCCGTAAATAATGACACACCCACCCATTGTTACAGCCGATCAACCGCTGACACCTTGGATGTTATGATCTTTAGTTATGTAATGTAATGAAGGCCTGAGTTGTACATATACGGTGGTCGGTGGTAGCAAACTTCACTCTGCTTCCACCGAATAAACGCCATCAACTCAGCAGCCTTCTCTGTTCTTCAAGGTAAGACACTATTACTTAACTGTTAACTTATTTTGTCAGCTACGATCTTAATCCGTTAGGTGTAAGATGGATCTATTTCGACTATATCGTAGCGTTGTGAAAATTATCATTGACTTAATATCCAGACACTACTTCCTCTCGCGAATGTATATTTTTGTATAGTAGCATACTAGTTGCACGGCAACATCCCAATATGAGTATGTGTACCAATGTCAATAACTTGTACGTTTCTACATTCAGTGACACATACTCATAGCAATGATTTGCCTGCAACTTAGTAACATTGAAAACTGAGTCGGCCAACATGTATTTATATTGTCTCTTATAACAGTATGTTGTTAAATTATCCACGCATGACTGTGTTCTACTGTTTTCTACCAGACATATTTTCGCGTAATAAATGCCTTTTAATAACCATCCGTTAAACAAATATATTGTACATCTTTACAGTCATGTTATTACCGGTTGTATGCCGATTATATTATTATGATCATACGTGTTGTACACGTAACGAATTATTATAATTATATGTATCCAATTATATGAATATGACTCTACCTCTTAACACGTGTTGTACACGTATCATATCATCGTGTCATTAAAATTAAATGTACTTCTGTGTACACTTCACTCTGCTTCCACCGAATAAACGCCATCAACTCAGCAGCCTTCTCTGTTCTTCAAGGTGATAGCCAGTCGTGACCGCTGCTACCGCTAATTCCCCCGATTAAGTAGTACACCCAAAAGACAAGCTACGTCACTCAAAGACGCACTACGTTAGTTGAATGAGCGTATGAAGCGATATTCGCTCAACTTGGGGTATCTTTATCACCGCGTTTCTTTATCTGATGACAAAAAGTAGCACTAGGCTCTGGCTTCTATCCTGTTATCTGACACTGCCGGAGTGAGTTGGGTGAGTGAGTGTGTGAGTGAGTTTGGTTTAACTTCGCTTTTAACAGTATTCAAGTAATATCACGGCGTGTCAGCTTAATGTGGGAGAAAAGCACGAAGTGATGCAGGTCTCAGACGTCAGTTACCACTTTGATGGAACCCATAAGCACGATGAGCACCCATGAGTAAAAGTGATGACAAACCTAGAAACATAATCGGGGCAAACCGGGATTCGAACCCCCCAAATAACAGGTTTCTGGCGTATCAAAGGGATGCAACTCCACACAACAAACTGCGGCGCCTTTGGCGGCTGGGTGCGATCATGCCACCATGCCACCATGTCCGCTTGGGCTCATTTGCTGTCGTGTGTAAGGAGTGAGTGAGTGAGTATGATTTTACGCCGCTTTTATTAGCAATATTCCAGCAATATCACGGCGGGGGACATCAGAAATGGGCTTCACACATTGTACCCATGTATGTAAGGACAGTGGAAATAGACTTCGAGGAAATGCCTGTACACATTTCTGTTTATATTTTGACATGGTGTATTTTATATTGAAACTGTGATATAAACCTTACTGTTTCACTGCTGTTTGTCGGCAAGTATAATGATCCAATTGATCTCATGATCATACAAATATATACAAATATGTGTCGGACCATCCTGACACTGGGTTCAACCCATTACAACGACATGGAGATCGGAGCGTGCTAACCTACTTTAACCATGACCGAGTTTAGACGACATCAACGACCGCCTCCGTGGTCTAGTGGAGAGCGGAAGGTCCGGGGTTCGATTACCCGGCCGCGTCATACCAAAAGAGGTTAAAAGTGGTGCTCGACATTAAGGAGCTAAAACAAGGACTGGTCGGCTCGGAGTCAGTATACTGTGTCTGAGTAGGGTATCCATGTTAAACTGTGGCATGGTATCTCAGTGTGCTAGCACTACAAATCGGCATCATTCCGGACTAGTACAAGCAGTCACACAACCACATACAGTGGTTAATTAGCTGTGGATAACCGTGTCCTCTGGTTAGCTGTGGGTAACCGTGTCCTCTGGTTAGCTGTGGGTAACCGTGCCCTCTGGTTAGCTGTGGGTAACCGTGCCCTCTGGTTAGCTGTCGATAACGTGTCCTCTGGTTAGCTGTGGGTAACCGTGCCCTCTGGTTAGCTGTGGGTAACCATGTTCACTAAATGTTTCCCTGTGCGTGATGCGTATTTGAGGTGTCAATTGTTGGTTGGTTATATATAATGCGATCAAAGTTTCCTCCTTATTTGCATGCTTGAAATTGAAACTTTGTGACTTACACTGATTTATACATCTTTAGTTCAAGTGTGAAAATAAGGAAAACATTTTGGTTCGCGTTTGATTTCCTTATAAGCTTCGTTATCTTTTCATCGTGATACAGACTGCGAAAAAGTGGTTGCTATTATAGAACCAAATCTATCTCTATCAACGTCATAAGGTAAAGCAGACTGTTTCCAAAACATTATTTTTTAAAAGATGCTTTTATGGCCTGTATTGATGAAGTTCAGACCATATTAATCCATACGAAACGACTCCCGCCAAATACGTTAGTACTTTCCTTTGTTTCCCTTCATAAAACTACTTTTCATTACTCTTAAAAAAACTCTCATTTCTGAACACAATTATCTGATTTTTCTTCTAAATTGACTACAACTATAACTTTTTACAGAACACCTCCAATAAATCGTATTCTTTTTGCAAGCCAATATAAATTACAAATCTGCAAACAGTAATACTACTACCATTCAAATGTCCCCTTTATGCCACTATTTTTCATTTTCTGGACAAACTCATTAATAACAACGGACTCAATATATATCCCTGGCGAACTCCGCTAGATGTCATAAATATTGAACACTTGATATACATATAACTGACGACATATAAGGCGAAAGAACAGAGAAAGCAGCTGCAAGGGTAGTTATGTAACTATTATCATGGAACAATTTCGGTCACTATAATTCACTATGCGTACGTCACCTTGTTTTTAAATGGTATTTTATATGGAAATATAATTATTGTGATCGGGCTATATCTTTAAACGATTATAATTCTCTGTAATAAAGACATTATTCGTGTTGACTATTCATACGGACAATGCACCCCCGTATATATTTTAACAAGCAATCTTTCAAATGTATTTACGATTTACATATATATGTTTTGTTAAAAGATTTTGTGATAAGCTAATGCAAATGTGAGGGAAAATGGAGTTAAACGTCGCGTTCAAAATTATTGCTTGTCGCAGATTAACATGGATACCTAACTTGGACACAGTATACTGACTCAAAAGCCAACCAGTCCTTGTTTGGGCCCCTTAAGGCCGAGCGCCAGGCAGAGAAAGAACAAGTCTAATAACGTCTTTTGGTATGACACGGCTGGGGTGGAACCACCGGCCTTCCGCTCTCCAGGCAGATGGTCTATCCACCAGACCAAGGAGGCGGTCAGCTAATGAGTGAGTGAGTTGGGTTTTGCGCCGTTTTTAACTCATTACAGTTATATCACAGCGTGTCAGGTTTATGTTGGAGGAAAGCCCGAAGTGACGCAGTCTTATACGTTTACCACTTTGGGTGAAACCCACGCGCAAGGGTATGGCGCTGACAGACCTAGAAACATGATCGGGACGAACCCTGATGCGAACCCAGAATCATAGGTACCTGGCGTGCCCGGGAGTCGCAACTCTGCACAGCGAATTGCGGCGCCTTAGACGACTGGGCCACCCGTGTCCCCGGTCAGATAATGAAGAAATGAAGGTAAAAATGCCTCCAAAAACAAAACAAAGAGTTACTAGAAATATATGTATAAAGCCCTGCCATTTTCGACCGATGACATTCAGTGAAAGTAATGGCCGAGAAATGGCTGAATCATCCACCGATTAAGAGCTAAGTGATGCAGGATATAGGCGTTACAGTGGTTGGGTGTGTTTCATCTATTGAAAGCTTAGACCCAAGAAACGTTAACAATAAATAATACCGATTTAGGGTTAACGGTAACTCGATTATCGATTGGCTAAACGGTAACTATTAAACGTCAGCACCAAAGAACAACCAGTCTTGATATCGAGTTGAAATCAATGGAATAACAAAACTGTTAGACAATGACACAAACGAGGAGTGCAGGCCGAGCTACCCGAGTGCGGTCCTGGGGTTCCTTAGTTCTTGTATGTTGAGGATCTGACATATACCAAGGATGTTTATGCTTGTGCTGAATTGTCTCTCTGAATGCCGGGTGTCTGATAGATGGAGTGTCAAGTCAATCAAGTCCCACACGGAAAATCGCCTCTTCGCTTGTATTACCCTCCTACCTTAAGTCGTATGTTGTGAGTGAGCCTTATATACTCAACAACAAAAGTTCCGATGACACCAATATTTTAGTGTATTTTTCAAACAATTAAATGTTGGTTTTCAATATTGTAGTACATGTATGGAATTCAAGTCACAAAAACGCAACTGCTACAGAAAAGCATGCATTCCATGCACAAGATGACTTTTATGGAAGCCCCATGCATTTCACTACCCAAGAATGGGTATAAAAACATAACTTTGCATTAAATCTTTTTCAATGTCACAGGAACTTTTGTTGTTCAGTATGTCTCCATTCACGGGATAACTACACAACTTACAGATAATGGCGAGAGGGTCTCGGGGAACAAGAACCCAATACAACAGTAGTAACACGATATAAAAGTCTTTTCTTTTTGAATATTGCCTTTATAACAACATAAACACACAAAAGCATTTACAACTGTGAAATTCAAGGGAAAGAATTTTATAAATTTATATCATTATAAATGTTAAAATAAAATG